CAGTTTAGATTCTAGACGGTGAATGAATGGAATCTTATCAGAGTTTTGAGAATCTTTGTCCAGACTCAGATGGGATCTTCAGTGACAAATGGCAAACAAACTCATGGGAAATGCTCACAGAGACAGGACAGATTCTATTTACTCCCCAAAGGACGCTACACAGAGTCAGGTACTTAGACACATGGAGACCAGAAGACAAAGGCACAGGCTAACTGGAAGAGCGTCATGGAAACGCCACCATGGGACATTCAGAACAAAAAAGCAACCAAATTAGGACCTCAGCATTATCCAACTCATCAATGGAAATTTGCTGGAAAAGAAAAAAAGGGGAGAAAAAGAAAGAGGTTAGAAAAAGAAACATAGCCTGCTAAGCATTAGAGACTCTGCAAATGTATTCTTGTGGGTCACCTTAAAGGGCTGTGAGATGGTGATGGTTTTTAGGGTCTGGGGCATCGTGGACATGACCACAGCTTGCAGCAACATCTGTGAACATCCAGATCAAAGCAGGCAGGATGCTGCCACAGTTCATTCGCATCCAGGTATCAAACCTCCCAAGTCACTAGGCCACGGGTCCAGAGGGCCCTGCGCTCCCTGACGGGGACACGAGGTAGGACTGGGTGGGAACAAGGGCCAATTCCCCAAGCAACGCTTCTTTTGGCAGAGGACAGGAAGAACAGAGAGGAAGTCTAGAGTAGGACTGACTCAATTTAGAAGGAAGTTGTTGCCCGAGACTCATTTCATGGTTTCAGTGGGGTCAGGAGCTCACCCTGCAGATGAGCACAATGAGACCCAGCAGTCCTAGGCTAATACTGCTGATGACCGAGGGACGGGGACAGCACAGTTGGCACTGACCCAAGTCACACCCATAACACAGCACGTATTAGCTCAAATACTAGGGAAAGGAAAGACTCACAAGAGAATGATCACAATGATCCCTGTTTCAGGACAGAGGGAAGACTCTCATGTGATTTTACCACATTTTGTATTTAGTATATTCTGCGAATTGAAGTGGCTGTCGGAAAGATTACTGGCTTGAAATGTCAATGCTCTACTCACCTAGAACAAAGAAGCTTTGGTAATTAACAAGGATTACAGGCAAGGGAGACCCCGGCCTTACCTGGGATCCTGGCTCTCTACTAYCAAACAGCTAGGAGGGAAAATGGAATTTTAAAAAAATTCTGAGCTATCCTTTTACACGAATTCCTGGACTCCAAATTCCTTCCCAGAGCTCTTTAATAATTTAAGTCAACAGTAGCTGAATAAAAACCTAGTCAAGTACAGGTAGCCAATTCATGAAATAACCGTGTCCCCTTTTCCGGCATGGCCCAGGGGCCTGAAGATTTTTTTGTGTGTGTTAGAGATTTGAATTAAATTTTAGAGATGCTTAGCCATGGAGGTTTTTAAATTTTATTTTATTTGGTTGTTCCTTAAATATGGACTTGGTTTTAATCTGTAGATTAAAAGCAGAGTTTAGCAGGAATCCCCCAAAGTATTTATAAAGTCCTGAGATAAACTCAAATAAATTGGAAGTTTACTTTGAATAGTCAGGTTATACAGTTACTATAAGCATCATACAAAAATGTATTCCACCATCATTTCAGTGATGATTTTTAATATTTCTTTATCTCATATTCCACTCTGAGAACACTCATTTCTGGTCATTTGCATTTTAGAGTCTTAATAACTAGTGATATTTTTGTTCCTAAGTGATTGCTAGGGTTTGGGTATGTGTCCCCCTAACGGTCACACATGGGAGGTTGGACCTCAGTACAGAGATGCCGGGAGGTGGTAGGACCTAGCAGGATGCCTTTACGTCACTGGCAATCCTCCCTGGAAGAAATGAAGGTTCTTCTTGTACAATTTTGAGTTACTTGCCAAAGTGAGTTCCCTCTCCATCAAGAAGCTGGCTCAGAATGTGATTTCTGGCTCCCCCAGAGGCTCCACCTGGTGCCAATCCCCATCTGGCCCTTATCAGAGGGCAAATTAATGAGGTCGCCTGATCTTAGACTTTAAGTCTTCCAAACTGGAAGCTAAATAAACTTCTTTGCTTTACAACATCACCAGCTCCTGGTAGTTTATTATAGTAAGAGAAAAATACACCAGCACAGGGATCAGAAGTAAGCTAAAGCCTAGTGTTTAAGATCTGCTATACCTGGTGCTGTTGGGTCCAGTGGCCCCATTGACACTATCATGTAACATGATGAAAACTTAGATGTTAAACCTGTAGGTGGACTTAAAACACTCAAATGGTGTCTGCTCACTTAGTTGGGATCCAGTTGTGCAGAGCTGGTCTCTGGAATCAGCCTGTCTGTCTGGGTTTAAGTTCCTCCTGTCTTGCTGGTTATCGGATGTGTGACCCCAGGCAAGTTTCCGAATCTCTCTGAACTGGAATCTTGTAACTCATGTTTAAAAATAGTAACAATAATGATACCTATCACTGAGGCTGATCTGAGATAAGGTAGGAGACGTGCTCAGTATAGTCTGTGGCACCCAACAAGAAGCCAATAAAAGTTACCATTGTTATTAAAGACGTCCTCTACCAAACTGGTGGGTACACACAGTAGTCACAGTCTGACGGGGATTCTGGTATATTTTAGTCGATTTTTAATACAGGTAACAGTTCTCAATGGCTTCTTCTTCTTTTTTAATTTTGTTTCCAGGCAAGTAGACTCATCTAAGCACACCACTGTTTTTGAACAGGAACATACATGATGATTTCAAGTGTATTATTTATGTGTGACCCTGACTCTATCCTAAGGTTGAATAAAATGTAGAGATGAGGGAAGGCTACCTAAGCCTCGTCACTTATAAGGATGACAGCTTAGAAAAGACCAGATGACATGGTCCATGCCGGTGGAYGACCCTTGGGGAGGCTGGAGACCTGGGTTCCAGCCCTGACCCCACCACAGACACTTCATGCAACTGTGGACTCTCGTCTTAGCCCTCAGCTTGGGCTCCTTGGGTGCAGGGGGAGGGCAGGGAAACCAAACAGCCCTGGCACCTACAGGAAGGTGACGGTCATGGGACAAGCTGCCCATCGGAGGCAGCTGAGATGGGAGGAGGAAAACGCCTCAGCTCCCAGGCCAAAGAATACCTCTTTGATTTCACCAACGAGAGCCAACTGGTTTGCTTGGGAAAGGTTAGTTCTTTGGCTCCGGGTGACTTCCACCCTTGACGAAGTTGGCCTGCCCTGTGGATCACGCTTCTTCTGTCAACGGGAACAGTTAGTAAGGTGTCAAAAATATCTTCAGAAAGCCTGGGGGGAGCAGAGTTAATACTAAAGACCAGAGGAGGAGAAGCAGAGTGCTTTAGTGTCCTCAGTCCCCTCTAGAGTGGCACTCATGGGAATGGCTGGTTGGCATTTTGCAGCCACCAAAGCTCTGTACTGGGAGCTGCTAGACAAACACAGGTTTCCAGAATGCCTTCCTCAGCTTCATGACCATCCTCATCCATAGGATTTTCCTTTTGGTGATGGGGGATGACAGGCCCAACCTCTGGAAAGAAAGCTCTCTCCTCCCAGCCTCTCTGCTTGGGTGTGATGAATTTCTTCACCATATTAAGAAACTTGAGTTAAGGGGCTGGGTACAGGGATGCATGTCCACAATCCTGCGACTCAGGAGGCTGAGACAGGAGGATGGCAAGTTCAAGGGCAGCCTCRATAACTTAGTGAGACCCAGCCTCAAAATAAAACATAAAAAGAGCTGGGAATGTGGCTCAGTGGTTAAGCACCCCTGGGTTCAAATCCCCAATGCTAGGAAAAAGGGAGGGAGGGGGAAGACCTGCCTAGGTGTCTAGGCAACAGCTGTTTGAATAGACCCTCTCATATTTCTCCAATGTACTAGGGTTCTTTGCTTCTATTTATATTTATAAACTCTTGCCTGGCATGATGCCTCCAAAAATTCCTACTGAGTTATAGAAAACTGTTTTCTAATTAGTCAATATTTGTTCACCTTTTAATTTATGTATATTAAACTTTAAGAGTAACACTTAAAAGCCTTGTGATTGGGGGGCAGTGGAGGAAGGCTGAGCGCTCAGAGGATCAGATGTTTTCTTATCCAAGGACCCTCTCGTCCGAAGCTGTTCTAATATGAATGAGAGGAGTCCTGGAGCTCAGAAAGCAAGGTTCCTGCAGTTGTTGATATGTGGGATGGCCCGGTGGGCACCACCTATTATGACAAGGAAGGCTGTCATTTAATTATCAAGGCTTCTTCATAGAGCTGAAAAAAATCAGTTCCTGGGAATTTTGAAAGGCCACCAAGCACCAACCACTGCCAAAGGGCCCAGCAGACATTGAGCAGACTTTGCACCTCCCAAGGCAACCAGGTGTCACTGGAGCGCAGGCCTGAGATGCTGTGTTGGACACTGAAGGGACAGTGTGGTTGGAAACGCCCATGTGGCCCAACATGGGAGACGAGGAGGACATCCCGGCAGACGCCTGCTCACTGTGTATCCTCAGCAGCAGCAGGTCACAGGGWCTGTCCCTTTCACAATCCCACTCAGAAATGGTGAAGCGTCTGCCTGCTGCTGAGTTTCCAGTTAGAACCGGACAGTGTTTCTTCATGCTCTGGAGGGGTTGTGCAACCCCTCACTGGAAAGAAGCAAGCAACCCCACAGGTGCACTTAGCTGGAGCCCCAGTCCAGGAACATGGACTGTGACACTCAGAGGTATGTACTTCTCACTGGGAACTTAAATGAGGAAAACCTCTGACATTACATGGCGAGTAGCCCTTTAGAGACAACCAAGTACATTCAAGCTTTCTGGATGGAACCCAGGGCTTCAGACACCCTAGGCAAAAGCTCTACTAGTGAGCTACATCCCAGCCCAGCACATCTGACTTTTAAGGAGACACTCATATGATTCAACTACCTTTAGGAACAGGTTAAACAGCTTAAAAAAAATTAAGCTCCTCTAATGCCTGAATTAAGGTTATTTCTAAGCACTCTCATCCCTTCAATTTAACAGCAAGGCATGTTTTTCACAGGAAAATAAAACACGGTACCTTTTCTCCGTAGCCTCTATCTTTGGTCATCATTTCTCTGAGGGTCTGTAGGACTTTAATGCAAAGTTTCTCCTCATTTTCTTCTAGTAGCTGTTTAGTATGCTTTATTAACCTGAATGARGGAAGACCACAGATTACAACCCTGACACGATCTTTCCGTTAAAAACACTTTACAAGAAACTTATGGAACTAGTCGGTTAAAGAACCAATATTTATTAAAGTTAAAMAGACTTGAGGACATGGTCACTGCTCCCAGAAGAGACCCAGACTGTGGCTCAACAGCGACACCTGCTGGCCGTTAACAGCCCACGGGCTCAGCAGGCAGGAAGTGACCATGTACAATGGAGAGATTATATGCAGCTGAGAAACCAGGAGGTCCACTCATGAAGTGAGGCTTTTTATCCACTGAGGACTGCCGCTGGGATATGCCAACAGGGTATAAAAAAATAAGCTCAACAGGATAAAGTTCCCTAACCCACAGCCTTTGAGGGGTTCTCCAAAGGAAGAAACTCATAGGCAAGGGCCACCCCCAAGGTAGACAAACTCAGGGTAAAAATCAAACAGAGCTCCCTAGTCATGGAACCACTTGCATCTTTCAGATTATGCCCCACGGCACAAACTAAGAACTACCCAACTGTTAGGAAAAGATCTGAGGTCATGTGGGCCTGAGATTTGTAAAGGCTGAGAAGTCGTGATTGTTTTACGTCTGAGCTGCTGAGCGTGGAGGGTGCTCTGTCGAGACTTGCTGGAGGTCGAATGAATGGGCATGCAATGAAAAGGAGAGTCTCACCAAAAAAGAAAAAAGAAAGAACAAGGAAAAAGAAAAACAAGTTGTCAGTTAAGTAGGATTTAATAGAAGGACTGACACTGGGAAGGTCAGAACAGTACTCTAGCACATGACCTTGCAAAGTCAAACACCAGGACAGCGTCTCCTTCTGCGGGAACAAAGGCTCAGTCTGGTCACCAGACTTCTGGCCACTGACTACCACCGAGAAAGGGGTCACTTACTTGCAAATGAAACCACCACTTTCGCATTTCCGTCGGGCATCTGTGTTCTCTGGGAAAAGCAGCTCGGGCCTGTGCAGGACATCGACGAGCACAGACAGCTCGGCTTGTACCAGTGGCCTGAGGCGGTCCTCCAGGGCCGAGACAATGTCCTGCAATGGAAGCATGGCTTGGTTGCCAGCTCTGGCCAGGGCTGGTGGCAGCAGGGCCGGAGCCCACTGCTGCCCTAAGCCACAATGCACAGGCTAGGCTGGGTTAGGGTGACTTCAGTACTGTGTGGCATTTATCTCACAGGCTCAGACCCTGTGCAATGGTCACCTGAAGCACTGCCTCCTGATGCAGAAGATGCCGAACGGACAAATCACGYCCCGCCTCCCCTTCCTCTGAGATGGTTTTGTGCTACTCGGGGGATCATTCCACATATTTTAAGATAGGATGCAAAAATGCAATTAACAGTATGGAAAGATGTCTACGATACAAGTGTAAAAATGGTCAAGCAATACCATGGACCATGATGCTATTTTTATAAGCAAAATCCCAAACTAAAGGATACATATGGACTACTTTGAAAACATCACTACTGCTTTTCTCTGGGTGGTGGCATTACAGGTGATGCAGATTCTCCTCTATTGAGTGTCAGTGTCATGTATTTTCAATGAGCATGGATTACTCACACAGTCAAGTCATATCAACATGAGAACACACATATGAATGAACATGCTGTATCAACATGCTAAATACATGTACCCTGATAGCATGATGGTCTTCAAATGCAAAACACACAGCTGCAGGAAAGGAAAACAGAGAGAAGTTGAAAGAGCAGCAAAACCAACACAACAAACACCATTTAAAGGCAAATGATAGAAAAACAGATGAGAAATCATCTTCAAAAGATGCTAAGCCTGTTCTGTGGCTCGCTGATTAGGAACTTAACTGGAAGCATGCTAAGATGGGCAGAGCACACTGGATCATCGGTGGGGGGTGGAGGGGGGTGTTTAAACAAGATTTGCAATGGCAGAAGCTGCTTAAATCGGCATTCACCTCCACTGGGGACCCACTGGGACCAAGAAAGAATTGACAAGTCTTTTATTCAGAAACTAAAATTAAACCACATGGAGAGAAATTTACCTTATATTTAACAAAATTAGGTGATAATTGTAACCACTCAATAATGTTTAGTTTACGTAAAGAATAGACAAATGAATCAATTTTTTTTTTTTTTTTGGCATGGGGCAGGGAGTGGCAATTTTCCCAGTAAGAACTGGAAGACAATAGATTGCAATATCTATTAATTTGTGTGATTTTCATAGCAGTCAAAATGAGGGGTCATTTTTGCAACATTCTCTGGGGGTCTTTTTCCCTAATAGCTTCCCATTGAGAAGCACTCAACTTTCTCTTCTTCACTAGCTACTGGCCCTAAGTCTGGCAAATCTTTGTTTAAGGCACTGGCATGGGACGGACTGAAGTAGCTCTTTCTCATGACATCCACGTATTTCATGAAATCTTGCATCTTTTGCAAAATCTGAACTTGACACAGCAATTGATCTGCATTGCATTGTCAAATGCAGGACATCCGGCAATCAGGAGGGGCCAGCCAAGACGGCAAAGCGATGGGTAGGGGAAGATGCTCAGGGGAAGAGTGTCTAAACAAGACTTAATTGTACAAGGGGTCAGTTTCCCAGCAAAAGTTCTTATATCCTGAAAGTTCTTGTTGGATCGTGGCAAGGCTTGGATAATAATTTGCAGAATGAGGATCCTGTAAGCCCCTGAGCAAGGCTTTTTAGCTAGTATTACCTACATACGTGATCTATTTCATCCCAAGAATATGCATAATAGATTGAAGAAAAGCACAAGAAACGGCTATGTTTGACTGCAGTAATTGGTGTAGACTGAGTGAGAAGATTCTGTGCATTCAGAGTCATCAGTATATATTATTACTCCTCCCCTTTCTAAAAGCATAGTGAAGTCAGGAAGCATTTCCGTTTGGAATCCAGCTACCTTTGCTCAAGAACGGGTTCTATCATGATACAGGATAGAATTTTTTTTTTTTTTTTGGTAACAGGGATTTAACCACTGAGCCACACTCCCAGTACCTCCCACCCCCCAGGTTTTTTTTTTTTTGTTTTTTTTTTTTTTGGAGACAGGGTCTCATTAAGTTGCTTAGGGCCTCACTATGTTGCTGAAGCTGGCTTTGAACCTGTGATCCTCCTGCCTCATCTTCCCAAGCCACTGGGATTACAGATGTGCGCCACCATGATAGCTAAGGATGGCATTCTTAGTTGGATGTGTGAAGCCTGCCAGCCTCCCTGGTCCCCAGAGCGCCMGCTGCACCAACCTCCCTCATATCTCTGGATGCTCCCTATTCTTCTCCGTATAATGGTCTTCGAAAGTGCTGTTTGCCTGCCTAGTTCTTTAAATCCTACTGTTTTCTGGCCTAGTTCAAAAGTTATTCCCTCAGCAAAACCTTCCTTGTCCCCACCCCTAACCAGCCCARGCAAGATCGGCTCCTCATCTGAGCCCTGCAAGAGCTGCTCACTTCTCCACAGGATTTGTGCCTCTGCCATTTTACATTTACCTGCACAATTAGCTGATTAATGTCTGCCTCCTCTCCAAAACGTGAGACTCTAGGAGACAAAGATCATTTCTGGGTTTTCTCCTCACTGTATATCCCCAGTATGCAGCAAGGAGCTGGTGGACGCATCTGCAAACTTGGCTGTCTAACCTCACAGAGGCTCAGTTACTTCACCTAATAACAGTAATTATTATTATAGTCGCAGCAGTAATAAAAGTTGTAATAATAATAATTACATTGGCAGCTCTTAATAGAGTGCTCAGGACGTGCCAGGGACTGTTCCACTAGCTTGATGGGTTCTGAATTTTCCAAGGATGTCTACACGGTATCCCGTTTTCCATGTTGTTCTCACATGTGACGCTGACATCTCTCTCATTCCATGGTGGTCCATGTTTCCTCTCCTTGAAACAGAGTGGACCTCTGAGGCTACTTTGACCAAGAGAGCACAGGTCAAGTAATGCTGTGTGCTTTCTGACAGCCAGGTGATAAAGACAATCAGCCTTCTCTCGTCTCCTTCCAGAAATGCTCATCTTGGGTCCCAGCCGCCATGTTGTAAGGAAGCCCAGGCCACATGGGGAGGCTCCATGTGRATGTTTCAGACTCTAGCCCAAGTCCCAGCTGACCATCAGTATCCAGTGATCAACACGTGACAGAACAAGGTTTAAGGGTGAGTCTAGCCATGGCCACCACCTGACTGCAACCTCATGAAAGACCTTGAACAAGATACGAGGATTGACTAGCCCAGCGAAGTAACAGTCAAAGAGAATAAAGGAACTATCATTCTTTGTTTCACAAGATGTAGAGATCTGGGACATGCTATCAACTCTCTTAATGCTCACATCACCCCCAGGAGGCAGGGGCTACCATCATTCTATTTTACAAATAAGGAAAGGGAAGTACAGGGGAGTTAAGTACCTTTCCCAAGGTGGTACCACTTCTGAGCAGTGGTGCCAGAATCTGAACCCAGGCACTTGCCTGAGACCATGCTTTAATGGAGGGAGGACAGAAACAAAGACTCTAAGAATACTTCTGTTTTCACGTTCTCATTCTGAAGTTTCATTTCTTACAACTTCCCTCAGGGATCAGCTATACTCATTTGTCCACTGATTCAAGAGCCTAGATATTCTGGGGTGTTGGGAAAAATGGACCTTCGATGCCCTTATTTTGAGCATCCCTTTGTCATAATTAAACATGCCTTGCACATGAGGGCAGAGTCTCCAGTGTTCACAGAGAGAGCTGCACTTCTGTGTATGACCTTGGAAGACCTTGACCTCATCAGGAGCAGTAGGCTTCCTAAGCAGCTCTGTGTTCCTGCTACTCATCTATGGCCACCTGTCACTCTTCACATACTTCATGGATGTCTCCCTGTGCCTGAGCATGGATGCTCCTAGGCTTGAGGAAGCACAGGAGCATGTGGGAACACCTCAGCCAGGTGAAGCGCCACTTCCCTCAGCACTAGGCATTACCTGCAGTCTCTCGATGATATTCCGGTAGTCTCTGGAAGCTGCCAGAACAGAGTCTCTGCGAGCAGCATTGCGGGCTGACAGGCGCCAGTTCATGGCCGTTTTCTGCACAATGTTGTGTGACTTCAGGAAGAGGTTGTTGACTTGGCTGTCCAGGTCCACAGGAATGGCAATGGCCCGGCTCTTGGCTGCACAGGAGAGAGGACTTGTGAAGGCCTTACCCCTTATCCCCCGTCAGGCAGATTGTCCATGCCGACCACATGCCAGCTTGCATGGTATCGAGGGTCAAGACTGAACATCCTGACACTACCCCACCATCTTTGTGGCACTGTGGATGGAACCCAGGGGTGCTTCAGCACTGAGCTACATACTCAGCTTTTGGCACCAGAGGTTGAACCCAGGGGCACTTAACCACTGAACCACATCCCCAGCCCTTTTTTATATTTTATTTGGAGACAGGGTCTTACTGAGTTGTTGAGACTGACTTTGAACTTGAGATCCTCCTGCCTCAGCCTCCCAAGTTGCTGGAATTTCAGGCATATGCCACTGTGCTTGAATCCACTTCACTATCTTTTAGGTTTGGGCTTCCCAAGGTTCTGGGGATGGGAGCTCTTCAGAACACTAAAATGATCTCAGGTCATCAAGTTTGGACAAGTTAGGGTTGACCGATTCATGGGTTCCCTCCATACATGCCTTCTTCAGTGCACTAACGTGTTCTTTTACTTTAAGAATCAAAACAGGGAACTCGTTTGGCCAGTGGATTATTTTTCTAAAGATTCTCTTTCAAGTTTGTTGTTTTACACAGCTATCCACAAAACGCTGATGTGAGATGAATATCACACAGGCGGCATTCGTGATTACACATAAAACTCTTTTGAGATACTCTTCTTTTCCCTTCTTAAAAAAACGACTAACTTGGACTGAGGTAGCTCAATGATAGAGTGCTTCATGTGAGGCACTGAGTTCAATCCTCAGCATCACATAAAAATAAAGARATAAAATATAGGGATTGTGTCCAATCTACAACTAGGAAAAAAAGAGACAAACTTCATGCTGGGCATAAGGGTGTACACCTACAATCCCGGAGGCTCAGGAGGCTGAGGCAGGAGGATGGCAAATTTAAGGTCAGCCTCAGCAATTTAGTGAGATCTAATCAACAAGACCCTTGTCTGAAAAAAAATAAAAAGGGCTGGGGACGTGGCTCAGTGGTTAAGCACCCCTGGATTCAATCCCTGATACAACAACAAAAAAGCAAACTCCAATCTAATCATGAGAAAAACATCCATTGATCACCACAGGAGACATTCTTCAGGATACTAACCATCGTTGGCAAGACGGCCATGTTCATGAGAAACAAGCAAAGAACAAGAACAGCCACAGACCAGAGGAGATCTGGAGAAATGACAACCGTGTGCAAGGTGGCAGCCAGGACTCACCCCTGGCATGAAAGGACATTCGTGGAAAAAACTGGTGAAATCCAAACCAAGTCTACAGCTCAACTAAAAGCCGTGCCAGTTCCTTAGTTTAGACCAATGTCCCCCAGGAGGTGCTGGCCCTGGGAGAACTGGGTGAAGGGTACACAGGAGCTCCCTGCACCATCTCTGCAACTTTCCTATAAATCTAAAAAATATTCCTAAATTAAAAGTTTATTTAAAAAAAGGAAACCGAGACGGACAATCCTGGATGCTCTATAGGGAAACCTCCAACATCAAAATAGTGATTTCCTGTCGTCAGGGCTTCCAAATGTCAGAAGGAAAGAAGGTGCTCTACTACCTGCATCTAATCCAAGGAACAACTTTAACATCCTGGAAGAAGAACCACAGAAACAACTGTTTAAATTCTTATAAAAAATACACCACCTAGGGCAAGAACTATTAGCCTTTCAAGAATTTCCTAATGATTGAATACAGAAAATGAGAAGTTTGGAAGCAAGATACAAGTGATATAAAAATTAAGAAGCAGGACAGGACACAGGATTCACTCATCTCAGCTAGAAATCCCGTGCTTCATCACGAACGTGTAGCACCTAGACTTTCAAATCCTCATCTCTTACTGTGAAACACTGCCACTTAAGTAAGAAGGCATCAGTACCTACCATGAGGGAACAAAAGAAACCAGGCAACGGTCCTAATAAACACGATCTATCCTTGCTGAACAGGCACTCAACAGTGCCAAGACTCCTTTGCAGGGACCTAAGTAGCTACTCCGAGGTGACATCCTTCTCAAGAAGAGGAAGTCTTACCCCCTGCACACGGCTCTTACAGGGTGGGAAATGGGTACACAGCAGGCTGGGTGCTTAAGCAGATCTCACAGGAGGAGGAAGACAGTGGTCACTAGGGGCTGGCAACGGCAAAGGGGAGAAAGGGGAGCGACAGGTTGATGCTGGGTACCAAAGTAGAGTTAGATGGGAGGAAGTAGTTCTAGAATGTGCTCTAGCACACAGCAGGGTGACTACGGCTTACAACAGTTAACTGTGTGTCTCAAATTAACTAGAAGAGGGTCACCTGAAGCTCCTACCAGAAAGAAAGCTTCATTCTGCCCACGGGATCAGTACACACTTTATTATGCAACTTTCAAATAGTCACGCTGTATCCCAGAAACATGTGGGGTATCAGTTGGAAATTAGAGGGTTTTTTTTTTTTTTTTTTTTTTTGGTACTTGGGATTGAACCCAAGGCTGCTTAACCACTGAGCCACATCCCCAGACCTTTTTTATATTTTATCTAGAGACAGGGTCTCTCTGAGTTGATCAGGGCCTCGCTAAGTTGCTGAGGCTGGCTTTGAACTCGCAATCCTCCTGCTTCAGCCTCTGAAGCTGCTGGGATTTTATATATATGGGAAGGGGGTGTGGCTTGTGTCACATATGGAGGCCCTGTGTTCTGTCCCTAGTACTGGAGAGGAGGGGACCACTAATAACATCAAGAGAAGTAATTTTCTTAACTTTTTTCTTAACTTCCTTCAAAGCCACCCATGAAAGGTGACAGGAGAATGGAGAGGGGACAGAGGACCACTTATTAGAGAAGGGCCAGCGGGAAGGAGCGTCACTTCTGAGAAGGGATGTTCCTGGGGTTCTGATCAGTGCTTTCCAGGAAGAAGGGCTAGGACGTGGTCAATGTTTCTGTTGGATTAAACACGTGGGGGACTTCCCGGGGCCTTCAAGAACCCGCCCGCTCTGAGACTTGCCAAGAACCACCCCACACTTGACCACGGACTCTTTCTCAAGACCTAGCTTACTTCTGGAGGTGTGGCTCTCACTGCAGGAAGTGCTGGCCTGGCAGATGAAAGGGAGGCTGAGGACCCAGGAGACCTTTTCAGGGAGGCTCTGCAGTGTCAGTATGTGCAGCCTTAGAAGGCCCGGGGAGCGCCCAGGGCAGTGGGCGACGCCCATCACCCCATCGTCCACACGGACATCTCACATACATCCAGAACACCGGGATCCCGTCACCCCAGACATCTCACCTACGTCGGAGAGCACCCGGATGCAGCTCTCCACGGAGGCCTTCTGGCTGGGCATCAGCCAGTTGCAGTGGTAGACCCGGAACACGCCCTGCAGCAGCTGCACGAAGACAGGCTGTCGAGTCTGCAAGAAAGGACAGGAGGGGGGGGCACGGGGACAGGGTGACTCTTTGGAGGTCTCCAAAGACCTCACTGGAAAGAGACGCTGCCTCAAGCGAGTTACTAGGCCCCAAGGAGGATTGGGAGGTTCTGGGGCCAAAGCCCAGGGTTCCTGCTCTAGTGCGGATGTCCAACATCTCCCAAAAGCCCACACGTCTTGGTCCCCAGAGTGGTGCTGGCTAGTGAGGCCCTTAGGTCACTGGGGACACTCCCTTGAAGGGGACTGGGGGAATCTGATCTTTTCCTCGTGCTCTTTTGTACCCTGGCTTGCGATGAGATGGGTGGTTCTGTTGGACCACATACTCCTGCTATGGCCTGCTGCTCCCCCAGGCCCAACCACTCACACACTGCAACTTCCAGGACAATGAGCCCAAATAAACCTTTTCTCTTTATAATTACCTCAGGTGTTTCATTATAGTGACAGAGAGCTGACCAACAGTGCCTATCTGAGAAGAAACACTGAGAAGCATTTGAAGACAGTGATAAATGTGATGTCATCTAACGGAGTCTGACCACAGAAATGGACAGTGGAATCAAAGTCCCAAAACTTGTCCAGTTACCAGCTAGCTGTGTGACCTGAGGCCAATGACTGCATCTCCCTGAGCTTTAGCTTCATCCCATACATAAAGTAAGTGGATGGGGGCAAATTAACTCCAAAGTTAACTTATACTCATTATATCCTGTGAGCAGAACATATATATTTTAATTGGTAAAAAACAAACTGAGAAGAGGGATCGAGCCTGAATGACAAGTCTCTATTTCTGAAAATATCTTCAATGTATAAAGACAAGAGAAGTCTGATGGGTAGTCTTTACTTACTAGGGAGGAATATTCGGAATTTAACTGCATAGGAGGATTTATCCCTCTGGGAAGGAATAAATTTGTGCTCATTCTAAAGTACAAGACCCCAGACATCCACTTATTCCACCTGACACTGATTTTTCTGAATGTATGGAAAGGTTGTAAATTTTGGTCTCCATCCAAAGGAGGCTTTGGGCCTTCAAGGAGAAGGCCACTATAAATGGTGAGCTGCTCTGCTGGTCTTTGCTTTGGGGGAGAGGACTCACAGAGCCCCTCCAGAAAACACTGGAATTGAATATAACAAAGGAAAAAAAAACATTGAAAATTCTGAGCTAAAAGAAAAACAATGGAGGGCTAGGGTTGTGGCTCAGTGGTATAGTGCGTGTCTAGAATGCACGAGGCCCTGGGTTCGACCTTCAGCACCACATAAAATAAATAAATAGATAAATAAAATAAATGTGTTATTTAAAAAAAAGAAAAAGAAAAACAATGAAAAGTGCTAGGGGGGACAAAGGAAGTCCATTGTGCTGGGTGTGGGGGTGCCACAAGCTTGTGGTCCCAGCAATTCAGGAGGCTGTGGCAAGTTTGGGGCCAGCCTCAGCAACTTTAGGGAGATCCTGTTTCAAATTAAAAAAAAAAAAAGGTTCAGGACGTAGCTCAGTGGTATGGTGCTCCTGCTTTAAAAAAAATAAAATAAAATAAAAGGTATATTGCAAGAAAATGGAACATTAATAAAATATTCAGAATCTCCCCCATACCTCAAGCCATCCAAGACAGGAACACAGGGAGGCTGGGAAATTGGCCAAGAACCCTAGTTTTAGCCCCTGAGCTTTGTGGCTGCTCCTGAGAACTCCAAGGGCCCAAGGAGAGCGGCGCTGGGCTGCACCCCTGTCCCACCTAGCCTTGCCAGGACCCTGAGGAGGTGAGTGGTCCCACAGGTGCTGGACGTGGGATGAGAGCCCGGCAGCCTGACTTGGAGAGAAGCATCCCCTGACCAGTTCACTCGAGTGAGCCAACATTTACTGCACATCTGCTTGGTTCCCTTTGACATCTGAGTAGAGACGAGATGAACAGATGGCTCTGAAGACCTGCCTCCTCATTGCTCAAAAGCCATGGGCACTCTGGGGGCATCAGCTCACTTGACCTCTTATGCAGAAGGGCATGACTGCTGCTATGATTTGTTGAGTGTCCAGTAGGGGCTAAATGTAATTGAAGGCTTTGTCCACAAGGTGGTGCTATTGGAGAGGTTGGAACCTTTGAGAGATGAGGCCTAGTGAGAGGTCTTTAGATTACGGGGTCTGTCCTTGGCAGAGATTGYAGGACTCCAGTTCCCTCTGCCCTTGCTGCTCAAGTTCAGCTCATTTTGCTCCTAAATTCTCCCAGCATCCTTACCAAAACTGAGCTAATCTAAGTACCATGTCTTTGAACCTCTGAAACTGTGAGCTAAAGAAACCTTTTCTCTTTATAAGTCAGTTGTCTCCACCATTTCACTGTAGTAACTTGGAGCTGACTAATACAGTGGCCCATCACCTTCTTCCAGGCTTTAACAAGGGACATAACACTGAGAATCACTGTGGAAGGGTGCAGGGTTGTGCACTGCACAAATCCAAGAAGCGCCATTGGTAAAGAATTCCATGGGAACAGTGCATGGGGAGCTGGGCAACGCAGCAGCCCTGCTGTCGCAGCTCATCAACTTCTCATTCCAGCCACACAAYGCTTCGGAGTAACTCTCCATGTACATTCCAGCTTACCAGGGAGAGTTCCAGGTGTTTGTGTTGTTTTAAAAAGAGGTGATAAGCTAGCAGCTATTTAACAGGTTCTTCTCTAAGACTGGAAGGAGGGAAGGGAGCACTGACAAGGGGAAAAGGGGTTTTAAGGAAAATCAAAAAATAACCAGGCCTGGAGACAGAGCTCAATGGCGCTACACCAAGCAGGAGGCCCTGGTCTAACCCCTGGTTCAAAAAAAAAAAAAAMAAAAACACCCCCCAACAACAACAAAACCTACAGCCAAGAGAACCATTTGGGATAAGGAAACCTCCCAGGTACCGTCAGTCCCGACTACAGGCTCCCTCTCTGCAGGCTMCCCCCATCGAGGATGGGAACTCTGGGATGAAAACATTGCACCTGCACCAATCCCACGTCCACTGTATCTTCCTGTCATTGTTCCCTCTACAATACCATGTAACCACTACTTTCCCAGCCCTGACGTTGCAGTAAGTACTACGAGTAACGCAGAGATGAGTTAGGATCCGTGGGAGGTGTGCGTGCAAGGCTGTGCCATTCTACAGAAGTGGCTTAGCAGCCATGGGTGTTGGAATCCGGGTGGCCGGCCAGCCCTGGGACCAGTCCCTACTGCTGCTGAGGGGTGGGTACCCTGTCTACCCCAGGGCACCTGTGACGCTGGCCCTCAGGGAGAGGAGTGCCTCTCTGATCAGTGCTCTGCCAAGTGGCTCACTGGCAGCTGCAGGCTCCCACGTCTGCATCACCTCCGCCCTGCGGGGCTCCTGCACAGACCCGGCCCTCGCCCGCACTCCTCACCTGCAGAGTGGTGCTCTGGTCCGAGAAAGGCGAGCTGAAGAAGGTGGTCACGATGCTCATCACGATCTCCGTGACGTACTTCTCCAGGATGGAGTCTGCGTGCTTCCTGTCGCTTGTGTTGTTGCAGGCCTGAAAGACGAGCAGGCGCTTAGAGTGGACCCCAGACCTACCACAGGCCTTTCCCACTGACCACTCATGACAAGGGCAAGGGCAAGGGCAGAGGTATTCATCCCTCTAAGAGATCACAACAATACAAAGTAAGTTCTGCAGAGTAGAAAAGGAAGGTAGCAGGGCACAGAATCACAGAATGTTCAGAGTGGGAAGGGGCTGCAAGGCCATCGTCAGTCACTTCCTAGCTGTGCCCAGGGAGCCTAAGACCCCCAGGAGCAGGAGGCGGCAGGGGACCCACCGGAGTCTCCATGGCCCCCATAGGTGAACTGCTCTCCTGAGAAAGGCCTTCAGCTAGGGTAGGCCAGACTGTTCCCGCCTGGGGTCACCATGGGGCTCTGGTCCCACCATATTGTTTCATTTTATTAGAGTTTTACTGAAATTCACTGTTCAAAACAGYGGGCCCTGGGGGCTGGGCTGTGGCTCCGTCGTAGAGGGTTTGCCTAGCATGTGTGAGGCATGGGTTCAATTCTCAGCACCACATGACTATAAATAAATAAAGGAAAGGCATTGTGTTCATTGGAAACTAAAAAAATATTAAAAACAAAAACCCAGTGTGCCACAGGTCAGCACCACCAACCACGTGGGTTTCAGGGTGAGTAGACACCTGAGGTTTCCCCTGTAGCCTACTTAAATTTTGCTGCTTAGAGTAAGATTAGCCATTTATAGGACTGGAGACTATGTCTGATTATTGGATTTATTAGTCCTATAATTTCAGATATAGCATTGGTTAGAATTTTAAAATAATGGATTAAAAAAAATCAAGCTTCATTCTCAGACGGTCATGCTGTAATCTTAACACGAGGCGGTGTCAGAACCCATTTGTTGAATCAGGTTAAGAAATGGTTTTACAGCGTTTCTCAACAATTTAATGGAGGGCTCCGCAGATCTAGGACCAGCTGCCATCTGTATAAATGAGGTTCATTGGAACACCAGCCACCCCCCTGGTTCTCAGGACACGGACACAACTCACAAGGCTGACTGGCCTTTCACAAAAGAGCTAAAAGGCCTGGTTTAAAGAAACCCAGGAACCTTGGACTGGTGGGATTCAGACTGGGAGATATTGAGAATAAATACTAAGCTCGTTGTCAAAACCACATAAGTGTCCTGAGGTCCACCCTGCCTCTGGGTCAGGAAGGCCAGGGACAGGTGACAGGCTCTGCGGGACCCTCAACACCAGACTGGGCTCAAGTTCAGGGAGGTGTCCCCAAGCACAGACAGATGATCAAGGAAAGGGCTTCATCTTGATGTGTCCCAGGCCATCATCACAAACCCAGCTGTGAGGGGCAGGGCAACCCGTCCTCCCGGAGGTTGACCACTCACATCCATACTCAGTTAAAAGGACAGGAAGGAAGGAGACGTGAGAGAAGAGCCACAGGCACCTCTTCCCCACAAATGTCTGCACAGGGCTGCGGCCAGCGGGACACACGCTCACCACCCTGCCTCCTGGGTTCCGGAAAGACTCACCCTGCAGATGTCCACGAGGAAGTTCTCAAACAGCTTCCACATGTGGTTGCTGGTGTAGATCTCCTTCATCTCTACCTCCGTGTCCACGTAGCAGTGGTTGAGGAAGTTAATGTAGGCGATTTTAACCTGCAGGCAGAAACACGCCTCTGGGGGACCGTCCTGGGGGACGGAGGGAATCAGCTTCCAAGTGAGGAGCCAGGGACAGGATCCATCCATTTTCTTAGACCCCCAGTGTATGATTATAAAATTCAAAAGCACAAGTTTTAGGAAGTGAGGTTGTTCATGACCTCYAGGTAAAGACCCATGCAGACACCCCGACCACAGGAGGGCAGCAAGTTTGACCACATTAAAATTAAGAACTTCTCATTGAGATTGAAATGGAGTCAATTATATCATGTGCACTGATGAACATGTCAAAATGAACCCACTTATCATGTATCGTTATAATGCACTAACATTAAGACATTAAGAACGTGTGTTCGTGACAAGGTACCATTGAAGAGGTGGTCTGGGTTGGGAGGTGATTGCGATGCTTGAATCAAAGAAGAAAATCTAGAGCAGCAGCTATGAGATGGACACCCCAAGAGAGCAAACACGAAAAATGTGATAGAATGTTTTCTTAAAGGAATATTATATATCTCAGRGCTGGGGTTGTAGCTCAGTGGTAGAGCACTTGCCTAGCATATGAGAGGCACTGGGTTCAATCCTCAGCACTGCATAAAAGCATATATGTATTTGACATCTAAAAACATAGTAGTATAAATATCTCGTATGCATCATATGCTACACATGATTTTAGTTTACAATATAAACTAAAAATCTATCTTTTCAAATATACAAGGAGAAGATATATACAGTGTGATCCACTTTTCTGTTACCAATATATGTGAAAAGGGAAAAAAAAGAAAGAGGCCTGGGAGGATTAAATTCAAATTTTAACAGTGACTGGTGATAAGGGATGGGATTCTGGGTCATTCTGATTTTCTTACTGATTACCTGCTGTTTCTGAGTTTCTCATAATGGTCGTTCATTATTTCTATCATGAGTTTTCATTTTAAAGGATTCCCTCCTGGACAGAGCTCAGGGACACTCATGTGACCTGTATCTCACTCCACTCCCCACCCGTGTGCAAGGTGGTGGCCCAGGGCACATCCTCTTTGCACACTGGTTGAACTAGTTCCACAGAGCTGAGGCTGTCTCCCCCAGGGAAGGGGACAGAGAAAAAGACTGACTTTCCCCATGTTCCGATCACACCAACCTCATGCCCAAGAAGCTGCTGTCCTAGCAGAACAGTATCCTTCTGCAAAACGAGTGCAGGTCTGAACACCACCAACAGCCCACCACACCAAGGCCCCAGGTGCCACGTGGAGGCAGCTGGGGAGGTCCCGCCRGGCTGGGCTGGCTCACCTCGGGGATGCAGTCCTCGTGGGTGACCACACGGACAATGTCGTCCAGCGGGAGCAGGGAGTTGCACTTGATCTCCGTGTACACGTTCTTGCCCTCGGTGCACACGGCCAGCAGCTCCACCAGGTGGATGTGGTACATGAGAGGGCTGTTCTCGTCCATCCGGTCCCGCTCAGACCGCATCATCTGGATCAGAGTCTGGAAGGAGGCTCTGTCGTTGTAGAACACGAGCACRTCTTCTCCAGAGTTGACCAGCTGTGGAAAGGGCAGGGGTCAGGCAGCCTTACCAGATTCCATGTGCCCAGAAAGAGGCATGCTCTGTTGGCCTTTACCTTCCCAAACCCATGGGAACTGTATTCCTAGACTCGTCTGGATTTTTTATTCATTCACATAACTGACCGACTAAAAATCTCCTAAATGATCCTTTTACCCCCAGGATACAGAAATACCACAGTGCTCCTAAAAAAATATTAGGGGACAAGAAGGTCTATACACCATGTACGCATCAGTCAGAAAGACAGACTGCAAACTAGCACCTGTATTCCCAAACCTAATGAGGCTACGGTTTTTTTGTTTTAAATGTTTCATCTCCTTGTTTTACTGAACCAAGTATCTTTACAAGTCTTTCATCTAATGTCTTATCTCTGAGAWCACCGATTATGAACTGCCAATTCAGATATGCTTTCAACATTCATCAAAGAGCCTGAGGACTCCTGTTCATAAACGTGCCCCCAGGACACAGTTCTTCATAAATCGAAGACAAGACACCGACTCAGCACGAGACAAGTTACAGAAGATCCCAGGAGTCAAAATAAAGAAGGTCAATGTTACTTAATTAACCACAGCTAACCTTCATGCTCTATGGGCCAGATATCAAGATAAACTCCTTAGATGGTGTGACGGTTTGGATGTGAGGTGTCCCCCAAAAGCTCRTGTGTGAGACAAGGCAAGAAAGTTCAGAGGACAAATGACTGGGTTGCGAGAGCCTTAACCTAATCAGTGCCTTAATCCACAAACAGGGATTAACTGACCTGTGCTTGTGGCTAGGTAAGATGTGGGACTTTGGGGAATATATCTTGTGAGCTTAGTCTTTCTCTCTGCTTCCTGGTGCCACATCCCGAGCTGCTCTCCTCCACCACACCTTTCCACCATGATGCCCTAACCTCGGGCCCCAAAGAATGGAGTCRGCCATCTATAGATCGAGACCTCTGAAACCCTGAGCCCCCCAAATAAACTTTTCCTCTTCTAATTGTTCTTGTCAGGTCTTTTAGTCTCAGCAACGAAAAAGCTGACTAAAATAGATGGATTACCTAACCTTGCTGTGYCTCCGTTTCTTCATAAATAAAAATGGGAACAAATACAATCTCTAACTCAGGGTGCTGTTGTGTAGAATAAGTAGATTACTGCCTATTCCAGAATATGGCAGGCTTCTAGTAGATGTTAGCTATTATTGTCATTTTATTTCATTTAATCTACATACTGACTCTTTCAAGTGAACACCGCTGTGCATTCACTTTATGGGAACGCTCATTGAGGTGCCAAGTAACGCAACCAAATCATGCAACCGGGACAGCACCCCAGCCAGCTTTCCTATCCTCTCCTAAGCCCACTCTCCTAACCACACCATTCTGCTGCCACTGGAATCACAAAAGTAGAACAGATTAGAAATCCAAGCATTACCGAGTTGACTCGGTATCATCAGAGATTTTATTTTAAAGGATTCCCTTCTGGACAGACCTTTTTTCTAAGGTGAAAAGATTAAAYACACTGCAGTCATGGTTCGATAGGATGATGTGAGATAGCCAGGAGTGGTGGCACACACCTGTCATCCCAGCAGHTCAGGAGGCTGAGGCAGGAGGATCATGAGTTCAAAGGCAGCCTCAGCAAGTTAGTGAAGCCCTAAGCAACTCAGCGAGACCCTGTCTCTAAATAAAATACAAAAATAGAGCTGGGGCTATGGCTCAGTGGTTAAGCACTCCTGGTACCAAAAAGAAAAAATTCAAGCTAATGATTCAGGTAACTGTAGATAAAAGTCATCATCTGTGAGCAGGAAAGCTGCACTGGCTTCCTGGCCCCTAACCACATTAAAGCCCCATGCACCACGTTCTTGGTTCACTGTTCCTCTTCCTTTTCCCTCTCAGAGGAATGCAAGTCAAATGTCCTTAGAGTTAACAGCTTCACTGCAATGAAAACCTGGATCAGACTCCTGCTGGGGCCCCAGACACAAAACCATACACACACCATCACAAGCTACCCTCCCGTAGGACTCCTGCCAAGGATGCAGACCATGCAGCGAAGACCAAACCCGTTTTACATTCCTACAGATGGAGCTTCCCAGAAATGTGTGATCGTCACCTCGGCCATGACCATGTCTTGGCACTTCTTAATAAATTTCCCTTCAGCCTTGACGATCGTCTGCAGGAACTTGATGTACTGGACGTTGCGGCCGTGGGTCTCGATGCAGTGGACGAAATGCTGGACCACCCTCTCGTTGATCTCACTGCAGAGCTGGAAGTTGTTCATGAAGATGTGCTGCATGGTCACGGCTTCTAGGATCTGCCGCAGGGAGGGATGAGAGCATGGGGGACAGTCAGGAGGAGGCAGGCACAGGTCAGTGAGAACAGTCAGAGGGAGGCCTATGACCCCCAGGGAGGCTTCCTRTTCCACTGTCTCACCCTGTGCTTTTTCATTTTTTTTTTCTTTTTTTGTACGAGGGATTGAACCCAGTGGCACTTAACCACTGAGCCACACCCCCAGATCCCCCACCTTTTTTTTCTGGAGACAGGGTCTCACTGAGTTACTTAGGGCCTTGCTAAGTTGCTGAGGTTGGCTTTTGACTTGGAACTAATGATCCTCCTGCCTCAGCCTCCCAAGTCAATGGGATTAYAGGTGTGCACCATCGTACCTGGTTAGTCAACTTTTCCTAMGATAAGTGCACAGAAAAATGAACCACCCAAGAGCATCCACCTCAACGGACGACAGAAACAGGCCTTCTCCACACCCACCCCATGATCTGACTACCACACATTTGTTTTGGGTTCATACCCAAGAGTAGAATTCAAGTCACAGGATATGAATATGTTTGTCTTTAGAGGCTCTGGAAAAGGTATTTCCCGTCTATGCTCTACAATACTGCTACTCCATATTCCTATGGGTGCTCAGTATCATCAGACTTTTAAATTGAAGTCTTTTCTTACAGTGCACACAGATGCATCAGATAAATTTGCATTTGATGACTCAACTCATGATATGGAGCATGCTGTCCTATCTATTGGCCATTTCAACATTCTCTACTAACAAGGCCCTGTTTGAGAGCTTTGTCAGTCTTTACAAGTGGGTTGTCTATTTTTTCCCTCATTGATCTTTTTGAATTGGTTATGCATGTTCTGCACATGAATTCTTTGTTGAACATGTGCGATGTGATATCTTGTCCCATTCTCTGGCTTGCCACTAGGAATGATGACCAGAAGTTAAATTTTAACAAACTCCAATTTGTTAGTATTTTCCTTTATAATCAGTGATATTTGCACACTGTTTAAGAAAACTTTACTTATCATACAGTCATGAGATATTCTCAGGCTATCTTTCAGGAGCATTATCTGGGACCCTTTATACATAGTTGCTGAGTTTTATGTTTGGTGTGAGGAAGGGACTTCAATCTTTTTATTATTTCTTTTTCTTTCTTTGGTACCAGGGATTGAACTCAGGGGCACTTAAGCACTGAACTATATATGCCCAGTTCTTTTTTATTTTTAGATAGAGTCTCACTAAGTTGCTGAGGCTGGCTTTGACCTTGTGATCCTCTTGCCTCAGCCTCCTGAGCCACTGGGATTATAGGAATGCACCTCCACACTCACTCAATCTTTCCATCTTTTGCCTTTTCTTTTTCTTAACGAGGCAAACAAGTATTATCATCCTACAACCAAGCAATCATTTTTTTTTTCTGGAAACTTCTATGTTTATGTACATGTACAAAGATGTCCTCCACAGTATTATTTACAAAGCCCAAAACTATAAATTGCCTCATTACCCATTAATATAGAAATGGTTTTTAAAAAGCTACAGCCATTTAATGGAATGCTGCTTAGCCATGAAAAAGAATGAGAAAAAATAAGAATGGAATTATGCCATTTGCCAGTAAATGGATGCTAAGCAAAATAAGSCAATCTCAAAAAACTAAAGGTTGAATGTTTTCTCTAATATGTGGATGTTAATTTACAATAAGGTGGGGGGTACTAGAGAAGAACAGAGTTACCTTAGATTAGGTAGAGGGAAGTGATGGGAGGGGAGAGGGAAGAGGGTATGTGGGGATAGGAAAGATAGAAGGAAACAGACATTATTACTGTATGTATCTATGTGACTGCATGACCAATGTGATTCTGCAACATGTACACTTCGAAAAATGAGAAATTACATCCCATCTATGTATGATATATCAAAGTGCATAAATGCATCCTACTATCATGTATAACTAATTAAAAAAATTAAAAATTAAAAAGAAAAAAGAATGAGAAAAATGTACAGAGTTGATTTGCAAAGGGAGCCATTGTGCGTTAAATTTAAAAAAGGAAATGCAAGATAAAGTACTATTTAAAACATGTAATACATATGTCATATAGTTATAAATATTTTTAAATGTGTAACATATTTAATATTTCTTTAAATATGTATTGAACAAACTCACATGGAATATAGATTTTTTTGTAGATACATTATGCATTTGGCTAGGTAGTAAGACTTGGCATTTCCATATTGCTAAGTCTGATACAATAAGAGATATGATTAGGAAAAACAGAGAAACCTATCTTCCTCTGCATCTATGGTTTCCTCCCTTCTCCCCTCTCCTGCACCACCCCTTTCCTATCCTCAAAATATGGGGGATATTTATGTCCTCCTGACAGCTGGTCACAATGTTCCCCTTTGGAATGAATACTGCATTATAAGTCCCAGAAGTCACAACAGCAAAAGGACAAGCTGTTCCAGCCCCCTCCCCAACAGCTTTGCAGACGGGCCTCCAGCCTTACCCCTGGGTTGAGGAACAGGTTTATGTGTTTATGCAGCAATGCTTGATTCTGCTGGTTGCCTGCACAGAAATTCTGCAAAAATTCATGAGCCAGCCTCATTATCTCCTGCATCTTGGTATCTTCAGCCTGTGGTGGGGACAGAGACAGAAAGCACTGATCATCAGGCCAGGCAGGACACTAGCTTCCACGCCAACACTTCCCATGAAGGTAGAATTCAGGCCCCGGCTGAGGGCCGGCTGTRGGTAAATGCTGAGGCACTGCATGGTCCGCCCCAAGAGGCAGCCAGTCACTTATCTAAGCCTCATCCATGAGCCAAATTCTCTCCCACTAGCCTTAGGGTACAATCAGAAAAGACTTTATTCACTGCCCAGTAATGGCTATGCCTTCTAAACCCCCGATTCTGAAAACGGCTGAGAGCAGGCCAGGCCGACCTCCTCCCAGCTGGTGAGCCCTCGYCTCCCCAGCTCCTGGGCTCACCTGTTTAAGTTCCTAACCTACAGTGGCACATTACTCTCCAGAAGCAGGTAACAGGGCAGGGTGCATCAAAAACGGGAGCAAGTGCACCTGCCACACCTCCTTGTCACCTCAGGCATGCTGTTTAAACCCAAGAGTTAGCAGTCCCCTCTGCAAAATGGGGACAGTACCTTCCCTGAGCATTGCACATGCATCATKATGTGACTCTCCATAGACAAGATGATGGGATTCTCATTCTATATAACAAAAGTATTTCCTGCATTTAAAACATCAGTTTGCAAAAAGTTAAATATCCTGTAATAAGACAATTATATAAAACCAATTGTTATTCTGCCCAATTCTAAGTTAGAAAACATTTAAGAGAGCAAAAACAGAAAGAGTCCCTCAGTGGAAATCATCCTTCAGATTCCTACAGCCCCCAAGAGTCTCCCCAAGACATGTCACATCCATCGTCCCATCGCAGAGGCAGGAGAGTGGGGAGTGCAGAATGCAGGCCTGGAAAACAACTCTTCAGCTCTTATCCCAGCTTGACAACTTCCTTGCTATGTGACCTGGAGCAAGTTACATAACCTCTCTGGGCCTGTTTCCTTATCGTAAAACAGATACTAAAAGCACATCATGTTTGCCATTGGTTCTGGACTAGATTGGGGTCAGCCAAATTTTTCTCAAAGGGCAAGACAGTAAATATTTCAGGCTTAGTGGGTCCAGGAGCAAAATCAAGTACAGAGAGTACTCAGGTAACAATTCCAAAATATGGCCATCATTCTGACGCGTCCTACAAAAACAGACAGTGGGCTGCATGTGGCCCATGCTTATGGCTTTGTCACCTCTGGTCTAAAAAAAAATAACTCTGGGAGAAAACAGGACATACCCGCCAGGAACAAGTGACAGAAGGAATCTGAGTGACCAGCTCTGATCATGGAACAACAACAGGAGAATGATAAGGGATCCGAATCACAAGTCCCAGCATGACGGAGCRGGGGTTACATTTGTCCCTTGCCAGTGGGAGTGGAGAGGTGGCAAACCTTCCAGCTGGAAGASATCGGAGGGCTTAGGACAGAGAGCTGCTGCCTCGGGAACCTTCAATAGTACCACGCTTGCCTCTGCCCACTGAAAAGCAACCTCCAGGTGCTCAAGGCACCAAAGAGCCTCCCGGGCTTGAATTCAGATTTTTTAAGGCAAATAAGCTTTGAAGACATCACATCTCACAGGGTTCCTTGTTGATGGGCTCCCTGTACACCACTCATGCAYAGGGATGTCTGTGCCCATCCCAAAGTGAAAAAAGGTAGGCGCGCACACACACACACACCCCTTTAAACCACAGATTGCAACCTTATCTGGGTGCATGGAGCCTGATGCTGTTCTGAAGATGTCCACTGCTCATTAGGGAAACCAATGATATTAGGAGACCCAGCTATGGTTGGCAAAATCCCACACGGGGAGGCAGAAGCACCCTTCTGGTCCTCCTGGCAGCCAGACTTTGAGTGACAGATGACCCATATTAACTGCAAGTTAAACTTTCCAGCCTGCACTGTCCTATTAGGGCACTGAGCTTACATTGGACTTGTGGCCGTTGAAAGCTGAGACCGACCTGGCTTATTCTCAAGGTCCCTGTGACTGAGGGGGAGGGTTCTCTGCAGGAACTTTCTGGAATGTAACACAGCAACAGGCTCAACTCCATGGTGGAGCAGAGCTGGCCCTGCTATAGGTAGCTGTATCCCCCTGAACCTCCTCATCTAAGGTGGGCTGATGACATCGTGTCTCATCTGCAGGACCACGAGAGCTCAAGAGAGCTTGCGAGCACTCGATGGGCAGTGAGCCCTCTTTAGGGGCCTCTTCACCAGCAAGCCAGCCTCTCTGAAGTCACTGGTGAACTTGACACACCTGAGTTGTGGCCCTTGGACTCCGAACCTGCACAAGCCTCAGTTTCTGCTGTCAAATGGGCTCAGCACGAAGCCCCACTGGCTCTTGCAGGATGGAGTGAATGCTTTCACAAGGGCCTGAGCAGCAGCGAACCAGATGCCAAGGAGTTAGGCTCCTGCTTCCCTAAACCCAACCTCCATCCACTACAAGGACAATCTACAGCAACCAAACAGGAGACCTCAATCCAAGTGTCTTCACYTCAAACACGCACCCAGAAGATGTCAAGGATGGGCAAGTCCCATGTTCCCACCAGCATTCAGCAACCTGTGACACTTACATTGCTGCCGCAGTATTGTAAATGAAACCACGGAGGCCCAGGCCATTGAAGGTGTAGGGTTGACCCCTGATAGACACACATCTATGCAATGTGGCTTGGGAATCAGAATAAATGGACTCTTCTTCCATCAGAGAATCTTAAAAATGGTGCAGCTGGTCTGTTTCATACAAGCTACCTAAAACTGCCTTATAGTCACAACAACCCATGAGCTGCATGGGTTTCCACGGAGGATTTCCATCTGAAGGGCTAGAGGAATCCCCCTGGGAGCACAGCCCCGAGCCAGGGGCCTGTTCACCTTCTCRTAGGGGATCTGCAGCAGCTCCAGCACCACGGCGTGGGCGCCCATGTTCCGCAGCAGCCTCTGCTGCTGCTTCCTACTCTTCTTCACAGAGGCACTCTCCTGCACACAGAGCTTGCTGAGCCGGATCAGAATCTGGGAGAAAAGAAGCACCTCAGAAAATCAGAAAAAGCACCTCAGAAATCAGAAAAAGACCACAGGGCAGGCAGGCGGAAGGGACCACAATACATTAAAAACCTCAAATAGCCAGGCATGGTGGCGCACGCCTGCAATCCCAGAGGCTCTGGAGGCTCAGACAGGARGATCCTGAGTTTAAAGTCAGCCTCAGCAAAAAAGTGAGGCGCCAAGCAACTCAGTGAGACCCTGTCTCTAAATAAAATACAAAATAAGGATGGGGATGTGGCTCAGTGGTCGAGTGCCCCCGAGTTCAATCCCTGGTACCAMTCCTGTCCCCTGCCACCCCCCTCCCCCCAAAAAAATACCAGGGCAAACCCACACCACACTGTATGCAGCGTCCCTGTCAATTACATTAAACCAAACCTATGCAAGATCAAGAATGTGCCTTCCAGAATTAGCCAATTATGGCTTCAAGAGCAAGCGGGACAGTTTCAGAGAGAGCACTGCCAATCCTACGAGCAGGCCTCAACAGCCGAGAAGGGGGAAGAGTTTGCTCTGGGGTGCGAAAACACAAAGGCCCCAACCTGCCAACTCTGAACCACCTCATGCAAAGATTTCCAAAGAGCTGTGGCTGTCACTGGTGTGTACCATGGTGTGGAGACACACACCTGACAATCACACCAGCTAATCCTGTATCTGACTGCAAAGTTTCAGGAACACGGGGTGCCTATGAAAAGGCTGCACCTCTGAGAGGYGAGAAACGGACCACACAAGAAATGGCAGGGCATGTTCAAATTCAGATGCTGAAAGCATTCAACCCGTGAGCTCTACTTTCTTCCTGCTAAATTTTACATGAAAAAGAAAGTGCAGGCGTTCCTGCCTTCCACTGGACCACCACTAACTAGAGCTCCCTAGAGAATAATTTATTTTGTTCTTTTTAGTAGCCTGACAGTAGAGTGAATTTTGACATATTATACACACATGGCAGATAACTTCCCATTCTGGGGTGGAACGTGATGTGGAGTGGAGCTTCACTGCTCGAGTATTCACGTATGAACACAAGAAAGTTAAGTCCATTCATTCTACTGTCGTCCCTATTCCCATCCCTCTTCCTTCCCCTCTGTCTAATCCAGTAAACGTCTGTTCTCGCCTCCTCCCCACTTATTGTGTTAGCACCCACATGTCAAAGAGAACTTCCTGGGGCTGGGGTCGTGGCTCAGAGGTAGAGGGCTTGTCTAGCAGTGAGAGGCACTTTATTTTGGGGGATTAAAGAAGGGAGAAGGCCAAGGGCTTACCTCTTTCACCACTCTGTAGTTGTAGCTGCTGGTGCTTTCTTGCTTTTCTGACTTATTCCCCTCCTAGGGACCAAAAGGAACACAACTGTGGTTTGCACAGCTCTCAGGCRAGTGTGGGATTGCTAGGGTGAGCACCACCTTTCATCAAAGAACAGGAGTTCTGTGCTATTGTCCAACAGCCATGGTGGGTCTGCCCCTAAGACATCTACACTCAACAGGAARAGGATGCCAGGCCTTGGCTGCAGAATAGGTTTATTCCTGGGGCGTCAGGAAGAGAAGTATGGCGCTAATTCCCTCCACATCCGGGTCTCTCCTACATGGCCCCGGGTGGCCTAGAGACGCAGGTCACCTTTGATTTTGTACCTTTTTTTCCTAGAAGAATAGTTGCCACCCTGGTGTCTTAACAAGGAAAACTTTTGCAAATGAAGCCCAGCTATAATCTGAATTTGTATCTAAGGACAACAGGGAGTGTCCTTGCTTTGAGAGGCCCATCCACCTGCCCGGTGCCCTAACCTGTGCTTCTCTCACCTCGGTTTTCTTATGTTCGTTTTCACCAGACACACCATCCATGGTCTCGTCGGGGCCTTGCCCTTTGTAAACCCAGAGCTCAGACTTTTCCACGATGGACCGCAACTGATCCAGGTCTTGTTTGATCTGTTTGTAGTTGTCCACATCCTGGCTGGTGACCAGCAGTTGAACCTTGAGGAGTGCAGTGCGTCAGCGGCACGGGCCTTAATGGACACAGTCCACTAGTCACACACCACACACCCGCTGGCCACGTGAGCTACCTGCTTGAAGGCCTGGAGGACCTCCTGCCTCTGACTGAAGTGCCGAAAGAGGAGCTGCAGGGCCCCGGACACCAGGGGCGGGTAGTCGTGCATGGTCAGGTGGAGCAGGACGCGGAGGAAGGTCCGGCCGCCATGATCGTCCAGGTCCAGTGGRGTGTTCTCCTCACTGCAAGAGCACACAGGAGAGGAGAGGCCCAGTGAGCCTCGGGGGCCTCACTCATACCCGGCCTGGACGGGTTTCTAACCCTCTATCCCATTTCACAGGACTTAGCTCCTTCAGTGTTAAAAACTTACTTCACCTTCAACTATTCCATGAGGGGAGGGGACAGTAGGCTGTTTAACTGTCAAACTTTTTTTTTTTTTWAAACCCTGAGCCACACGAAACTCTAAGCTTTTGAATCCTCAAGGCTTTGGGAGGAGGCCATTACGCATCAACAAAGAATCCCCCCAGTGTGGGTTACTATAAGAATGATGGAATGGGGTATTTATGCTAAATTCTAAGCTGGCAGGTGTATGCGTTTACAACAACAATAATAATATTTTCATTCAAAACTGAGTACTGTGATATTTTAGGAGGGATTCAACAACAGGAACAAGGAACAGACAGACTGTTTCTTTGCTGCATTGCTAACACCATGGCCCACCAGTGAAGAAGCTTGTGTGTTTGGAAGCTCTGTTTTGAGTCCCCTGTTTCTTTTGCTTCTATTTTCTCACTTAAACATAATTTTCTCATTTAAACATGATGTATGCACTTGGGGGGACACCTCCTTAAATCCTTTCTGTCCTGGGCAAGAAACACGCACGGGCCACCTCACAGTGATGTGAGAACTAAGAACACAGAGATCAGCAAAGCAGGCAGAGCCCAGAGATTAAGAAGCTACTAATGTGGCCGAGGACAAGCCGTTTGGAGCTGGAGAAGAGTGGCCTTGCACCTCCCGGTCCCACCTATGACACAGCAACTGAAAGTGCACTTTCCTTCCTCCAAAGATGCCCTCCGCTTGCTCCTCGATGTGTTCAAAGTCAAGAGCCCCTGAAAAGTTAGAGAACGTAACTTGAGACACGTGCATGGCTGGTGAACCTCTCAAAAGGTGAGCAGGGCAAAGCTGCGGGGCTAACCCACATCTTCCGGAATCACCCACTGCCCAGGTAGGGGGCCACGCTAACCCAGGGGACACCCTCTAGAGCCTCACTGCTGCCACTTCTCTTCGTGCTGAAGGGGAGTGTGGTGACCTCACCCAAGGAAGCGTGGGATTAGCAGGGGATTTTTTCCTACCACAACCTTCTGCCTAACCTGTCTCCACTACTTCCTGGGCAGGAAAAAACTTCCAACATGAGTAAAACTGCTCATGACACTGACATTTCTTGGGAAATTTATTTTTTCATCATTCTGTTTTATGGGGACTTTGTAGGTAACCACAACACCAAAACCTCTGCTGTCTCAAGTCCCCGAGACAGGAGGAGATAAGATCCTTCAGTGAAGCCATGTGGGGTCTTTCCATTATTTGTCCTGCCCCAAAAGAATCAGTCTCAGGTACATGTCTCTGAAGTACAGTTGTCCTCAAAAACACTCCCACTGTACACTCCTTTCTAGAAGACACCATTTGCATCTCTAGTTTTCCCAGGTCCCATTCTATGGCCAAAACCCCACTCTGGGATCACCAACCTGGCACATTACTGGGCCCTTCTTGGCTGCTGTTTCCGGAGGATGTTTCCGAGGTCTGGGAGTTGCTTTCATCAAACTCGCGCTTAAATATACACAGGAGGCAGGAGATCCTATAATCCAACCTCACATTCAAAATGAACTAAAGATGGAAGAGGAAACGGAAACAGGTTGGTTATATGAACATGCCACCTTCAGCCCCTCGCCAAGCCATTGTGCTCGGGCAGGGCCCAGCATTAGCTGCACCAATTCCCTTAAGCACTAAGTGAGGCAAATACTTGGCTTAGATTTCAAGTCACGTTAACAACAGCAGAACTTCCACGGGACCTACCAAGTGGGCCCACATCACCTTAGTTTCTAGGGCGCTTCGGCATCCGGCAACTCACTCAGCTACATCAACCTCTCCCTGCTCCGCCCCGTGAAGCAGGACTTCTCAGCCACTGCTAACCGCCAGCTCTGGGCCAAACACAGGGGAGAGTAAAGTTGGCTGCTTTGGAGCCCTGACAGCAGTTTTCTTTTTACTACTGAGTGTATATTTTGAACATGTTTCTGGCTGTTTCCCCTGATTTGGGGAACAGATCCCTGGACTCCTTTTTTTTTTTTTTTTTGACGTCCTGAATTCCCTCTACGCCAGCAGACGTAGGATGCGTTTCCCAGGATGGCTGCTCAGGTCAAAAAGAAAGACCAGCCACCTGGCTCTGCTGAAGGAGCTCACGTTCTTCCTTCCGTACTGTCTTTGTTTCTGGGTAGCCCTCTTGGCAACCTAACCCCATTTCAGGGCTGTTTGGCCTGCCTCCCGACTCCCTGTCTAAGTTTCCAAACAACTTCTGTACATCCCACTTGGTATCTTCCCAGAGCCTCAAAACTCACTACGATGGTAACTTGTAGGTGTCGGCATGAATGGGTTACGGGGTACCCGGGCGGCTGACAGGAGGAGTGAACACACTGAACTCTTGTGGGTGAGCTGGCTGTAAAGAAGCACAGAGAGGGAGGAAGATGGGCAAGGAGCAACTGCTGGTAACAGAAGGATTTCATTTTTGCTGTAATCTTTTTTAAGTTATGACACTGTAGCAAGTTTGCATGGCACATGGAAATCATCACAGAATGAGGGAGAACTTGTTGACAAAGGCCGGGAACCATTCCAAGAGCACGGTCCTTGAAGAGGCAAAAGCCGGAGACTCTGTGCACAGGGGAGGGTCTGTCCTGGGTTTGTGACCCTCTTGGCTTCACTACAGCTTGAAACCCCTGCGCCTGTGCTCCCCCTTTCCGCTCCTTGTAGGCGATTTTCATYCCTGAACAAAGTCATCTTCCAAATGGTAAGACTCTGAGCAGGTTCGGGTTAGAGCAGACACACAGAAGCCATCCTGAGTTGCTCACTGTTGAACTCATAACATCCAAAAGCGTTTCGGGCATTCCGTCCACCTGAGCCACCCTCTCCCGTCTGTCCCTGAACAACCTGTTCCCCAACTTGCCCCCACTTCAGGATCTTTGAATTTGCTCTTTGTCTTGAGACTCTTCCTGGATATCTGCAAGGGCAGCTCCTCATTTCATTGAAGTCTCTGATAGTGACATCTCACTAGAGAAGCCTTCTCTGATAATGCCATCAAAAACAATGTCCCCCAAAGCCCAGCTACCCACAATTCTGAATATCACCCCGAACCTCCTTTGTATTTTAACATCTGAGCACTGATTTTTAAAAATATATATATATGCCTACACTTGCTATCCAAATGAGCTCCTTAGGAGCAGAAATTTAATCTACTTGGTTCATTGTTAGGATTCCCAGTGCTTAAAGGGACTTGGCACTGGCTTGGGCTCAAATATTTTTCAAATGAATGAATGAATACAAGAAAAATGGCGGGAATAAGGAAAAGAGGAAAGTTCGCAAAATCAGTGGAACCCCGAACGGATTTAGGATCCCTGACAGGGAGCTCAGGAGCCGGGAGCAGGAGGATCAGTGAATTCCAAGGCAAGGGGACAGAACAGGCAGAGACAGGGAGGCAGTGTCCTTGGGAAGCTAAGGGGACTCCAGCAAGTCCCGGTGTGGCTGGAGGGACAAGGCTGTGCTGGGCAGGGGCAGGAGATGGCAGTGAAGGAATCGAGGAGTCAGCTCCACAGCAAAGGGAGAGCTGAGCTAAGAGACTTTCCCATTTCTTCTCAGAACGCCTTGGACTCCGTCAGAGCAGAGGGCAGATGCAAACAGTGCCTCTGGGAGCACCTTCCCGCCCCTCCTCCCATACCTGCAGGATCTCGATGATCTTCAACTTGGTGTCCATCACCATGATGTCCTCCTTCTCCGGCTCCGCCTGCTTCACGTTGCCTTCAGGGGCAGCGGCCATGGGGGTCATGGGCAAAAAGCCACCTCCCCGGAGCACCACCTGGGTCATCAGTTCCCCGACTCCATGGATGGACCTCATCACGTTACTGCCTGGGAAGGGCCAGGACAGACCTGGGTCAGACCTCTGCAGAGTTCCCTGAGCACCTGGCAAGGGGCAGGGGCGCTCTGAACAGGTCCTTTAACCTGGCCCCTTCCAAAACACTCTCGGGACCCCAGGAACCCGAAAAGGTGGGTGCCTACCCCAAAGCTGAAGACTTCTGAGAACAGTGGAAAGAACCTGGGTTTTGTTAGCCCCCGTGGGTGATATGAATTCACACCCAGGTTTTATTCCTCAGCAACATATATGCTTGTTAATGTGCAAAGTACTTAAGATCTCAGCACCAACCAGGCACAAAACCTGGCACTGCTCTCAAAGGCAGCTTGATCATGGGGACGTCATATCATCCCTCAGTTTTCTCACATATAAACGAGAAATATTTTTTTTTTTTTTTGTGTGTGTGTGTGTGTGTGTGTGTGTTGCTGAGAATCAAACCCAGGACCTAGTGCAAACTAGGAATTCTATCCCTAAGCTACACCCCAATCCTTAAAGCAGAATAAGAGCTCAACAACAGAATAGCATTATTATGCATGCAAAATGGCTACAGCACAGGGCTTAACAAAGAGCAGGAGACACATACAGAAAACCAGTTGAAAAATGAGACCGACTCTGTGCTATGTTTCTTCCTACAACCGAGGAAGAAATAAGCATATAAGGGGGGTTTTCCTATTCACAAAGTGGAAACAGATACCAAGACACAAGCCTGGATCATGTTTCATGCATAACTATTATCATCCAGGGTCCAAGAACATCACAAACAAACGAGGACACACATGTTTTTGAGAACTAAACACTGAAAATGCCAGGTGACTTTCCAATGGTTCCACAAAGTGGACACAGGCTCCCACAGGTGAATGCACAGGAGAGATCCCAAAACACTAATCATGAGACTCGACGCCAGGGGTGTGGGAATTCACACAACGGTCCCTGGGACTTTTTTTAACATTTGAGAATGTTCATGATGAAGAGCGGAAGGAATGGAGGGGGGAAGGACGTGATGTCACAAGGCGAGGCAGGATGTGACGGGGACAGGGAAGGCTGGGAGGGCATCTCAGATGTACGGGCACCATCAGATACTCACTCTTCAGCTTCTCCACATCATCGTTACCTTTATTCTCTTCTCCTTTCGCCATCTTGCTGATSGGGAAAATGGTCGTCACGTGCACACAGTCCAAGATGGCGAGGAGGATCTTGGTCAGCCGCAGGAGGTCAGAGAAGTTGTAGAAACCAAAGTATATGAGGTTCCTGGCTAAGTTGACAACCTACCGTGGGCGAAAGAAGGTGGCGTTAGAGGAACAGCACCCTCCTGCTCCACCTGAGGTCGACTAGTTAGTAATAGCCGAGAGACCTGACCTTCCTCATGTAAGAGAAGGCAGGTATTTCCCTTACAGTCTGTTAATGAGTAAATGAGAAACAGAATCCTGCAAATCTGCTCATTTGCTCTGATGACTAGTTAATAAAATTGTCCTAGTCACCGAGTGTGTGCAGCTGCCCCAGGCTAACACTGAGCAAACCAAGTAATACCAACATGGACCCAAATACCACCACTGCAATCCTCAGAAATACAACCCCAAAAGGCGGAAGTGGTCCCAGAGACATTTTAAGTTAAAGGTAATAAGGTTTTATGTTCCTCAAAGGATTAATCTATGGCAGATCCCAAGCACAGTGTTTCTCCCTGACACTTTTAACACGAATACAGAGCGCACGTCACATTCTGTCATTTTGCATGACCCAATTGTCTTCCTGCGTTTCTTCCAAGAGCCTCCTTGAGCCACGTGACTGGTGTTGGTTCTGTTTTAGGCTGGAACAAAACTGAGTGGAAATTCTTTTTGATGACACCAATCAGAGCATCGTGACAAAAATCACCACTTACTAACATATTTTATATCTGCCCCGTTGCCGTAAAACCACTGAAAAAGGAACTAAAACACACAGGTCACATCGTGCGTTACCTCAAACGTAAGCTTATTCTTCTCCTTATCAGAAAATGGAAACCTCTGGCAAACCACGTCCCGTAAATACTCCTCCACAAACTCCATGGTCTGAGCAAACCTCTCCTTGATTTCATCTCGGGATGCTCCACTACTGTCATAGCTGCAAGGAGGGACAAGGGAAGGGAACACCGTGTCACGCTGTGCCCAGGCCGCTCAGCCCCAAAGTCAACGTCCCTGACACTTTGTATCCCTGCACCCTGGTTCTCCTCTTCCTCCTCAGCACGTCACCACATACACATCAGTCACTGACCTTATTCTCCCATCCTCCCCACTAGCATAGAAATAAGGTGTCCAGCTTCTTCACTAATATTCCTTGATCTTGGCACACAGTACACATTCAAATGTAGAGATTATTAGAGATATATGAAAGGTATAAAACACAATCATGCCATCTCTTTCAGGGGACTGAACTCAGGGACACTTAACCACTGAGCCACATCCCCAGCCCTTTTTATTTTTTGAGACAGGGTTTCACGAAGTTGCTTAGATCTGCTAAGTTGCTGAGGCTGGCCTTGAACTTGAGATCCTCCTTCGTCAGGCTCCTGAACTGCTGGGATTTATAGGCATATAGCTTTGTGCCTGGCCATCTCTTACTTTAAGGAATGAAATAATATTTGCCAAGCAAATGATTTCACTTTAAATTGAACAATGTCAAAAAATAGATAAATAAAAACTTCATCTTTCTTCCATGATTCAGTAGAAATCACACGTGGCTTAGCTACTGCTGCACCGAACATTATAAACACGAGGTTTTGGGGTCTCCACAAGAAGGAGCCAGACTCACTCATCAATGGCGATCTCCGAGGGGATCTCGGACCAGAGGCGGGCGTATTTCACGGGAGTGACTTGCTCCTGGGGGTCTCTGTCCACGTGCATGTGGAGCATGAGACGGCAGAAGGAGGCTCGCAGGTCGTAGGGCAAGTTCTCGTCAGACATGCAGCGCAGGATGAGGTCCACATCCAGCTGGCCTGATATCTCGTTGATGGCCAGGTACTGGCGGTCCAGACACATCCTAGCAAAGAGGTTCAACTGATACCTGAGGAAAGAAAAGGGTCATCGGGTTGGCACTCTAGGTATCCAGGCAGGCCCTGTTTCCCTGGGGACACATTTGGCCATCTGAACTTACACCCACACCCCCATGTGACTCTTCTACACCCAACTTTGGCTCCTGTAATAAAACAAAGTTCATGCTACGCCAGAAAGCCAGGGGAGACAGCCAACTGTCTCACGAGTCCAGCCGTGCTAGGGCAATCATGTCGTAACTTGATTCCATTTTACCCTGAAATGTTTTATAAAATAATCAGAGGAACATGGCTAGGTCTTCAATGGTTCTCTTGGATGGTACATTAATAAAAGAGAATACCACCTAACTCAAAATTAAACTGTCTGCCTCTATTAACGCAGATACATTTCAGAAACAATATTGAATGATCAAGGCCAGTTTTAGAAGGGTACCTGGTGTAGGGTATAATTTGTATGAAATTTTAATAAGGGAAAACTATGTGATTTATGGGGCATACGGATGTAGTAGAAATTGAAGGGATGAATATCATGTACAATGGGAGGGAAGAAACTGGAACGCTTGAGGTAAGAAAAGACATTTTAACTGCTAAGTTTTATTTATTTTATTAGAAAAATACTAGAAGCACTACTTTCTTCTCTCTTCCTCTTAGAAGTATCTACTGAGTTACTTCCCTCCTGTTTCCTTCCTTTCCTCTCAGGAGGCAGGKCGAGAAGCTTCAGAGCTGGGGGCGGGGTGACATCCTCAGAGCTGGGGAGATGACACAGAGGTGGAGACTGGTGGCAGTGGGCATGTACCAACAGGAAACATCCCAGGAATGACGAGAGTAGGGGGTATTATGATCACAGGAAGGGTGACGGCTAGAACAGACCCCGCAGTGTTGTTAAAATTTTGGAAGCAAAGGTCACGCATCCCTTGTTGGAAATGCTCAGGAGCAGAGTTTCAGGCCTTGGAGTTTTCTAGACTTGGGAAGACCTGCAGTCTATACTGATCTGAAAGTCTGAGAGACTCCGAAATCTGAAACCTTTTGAGCGTCATGTCGGGGTTTGAAGTTTCCGATTTCAATTTCAGATTCAGGAGAAGGAATGTTCACAGTTTTCATTCCGTACTCGCACAGAGGTGTACAAACAGATATAGTAATGCAGAGATATGTGCACACATGGGGTCATTGTCTAGCTCGGTCTGTAATCATTCCAAAAGATGGGTACAATCACCACTATTCTGCAGATAAAGAAACTGGAGGATGAAGTCAATCTTGGTCAATGTCAGAAAACTAGTAAGAATATAGGTCAGGATCTAAACCCACACAGATTGACGCTTAACTACCACAATACATGCAGCCTTCACTGATAAATGGTGATGAAGGGTGATCCCAGGCCCTGACAGGCCCTCGCAGTCCTTCCTCCTACTTGTGACCCCAGCRTGCCCCGCTATCAATGAATTACATATTCAGGAGATCATATGCTTGCAAATTGTTTTTTTTTTTTTTGTACCAGGGACTGAACCTAGGGACACTTAACCACTGAGCCACATCCCCAGCTCTGTTGTGTTTTATATATAGATAGCAAGGCCCTAAGTTGCTGAGGCTAGTTTTGAACTTGTGATCCTCCTGCCTCAGCCTCCCAAGCTGCTGGGCTATCAGGGTGTGTCACCAGGCCCAGCTTATGCTCTTAAATTGAAAACACCACCTCTGTCTTTCTGCTGGGCGATCTCCCAGAGCGAGCAGCCTGGTGACTCCCTGGAGCAACCAACAAGCAAGCAGCATATTCCAGCCGAGCCCCCCACATCTCCCTCGCACCTGTAGTAGCTGAGGACATCGCGATCCTCCTTCTGCCCTTCCTTGGCATCCTGCGCCAACTCCCTGACGCTCTTACTGCGAATCTCTTTGTTGCTGTCTCTCCAGAACAGCCACACCTCCTCCTCGTCCTCCCCGGCCTCCAGAGCATTTTCCCCGGTGGAGACGCCTTCGAATTCAAAACGAGAGAGAACCAGCCTAGAGATGGGGAGAAGGGGAAGGCGTTATTTCTGAAATTCTTTGAAATCCAGCTCCATTACACACATGAAGCAGCTTCGTATTTCATCCTCCCTCCAGCAGAGCCACATGGAGTAGAACCTCTACCTCTTTCTCAACTAGCTGGTTCTGCTTCTCCAGTGGACCCCTGTAAATGTCTGGAGACTATCTGGGTTGTCACACTGAAAGAGAGGGGTTGTTCTGACATCTAATGGGTAGAAGTCAGGAACACTGCTAAACATCCCACGACACACTGGAAATCCCCCACCGCAAAGAATTACCCAGCCCCAGAGAAGCTAAAAAACTGCATTAATCCAAGCCCCATGATAAGTTATGCATAAGAAACAAAAAAATATACAGTTTTTAAGACTACCCATGCTGGGCACAGTGCTGCATGCCTGTAATCCCAGAGACTCAGGAGGCTGAGACAGGAGGATTGCAAGTTAGAGGCTAGCCTGAGAAACTTAGTAAGGCCCTAAGTCACTTAGCAAGACCCTGTCTCAAATTTTAAAAGAAAAAAAAAAAAAGGGAGGGCTGAAGGTATAGCTCAGAGGTTAAATGCCTGAGTTCAATCCCTGGTACCATAAATAAATAAAAGACTATCCACGCTATTGCATATACTTACCAGAAAAACTGCTTGGTAAAATATAGGAAAAACACCAAAAAAAAAAAAAAAAAAAAAAAAGCCTGCTTTCTTCCTAAGACAAACTACTGCCATACCCAGAACATCTATGGACCAATGAACACTTGTGAATAGTGATCATTTAAAACTCTTCTCAATACTGATTTCATGTTTACACTGAATATTAATGATATCCTTTAAAATTTTTAATTGCTCATCCCACTTCAAGAATTTTCACCTCTTAAAATTAAACTAGCATCTGTCTAGTGCTCCCCAATGAGCTTACATGATGTTTAAGCCAGGACGCTTCGAAATCTGCAGAGAGGCCATCCCACAAACTCAAATGCCCCCCTCCCCCCCGAGAAGAGCTGCAAAGTGAAGAGTGAAAGGCAGCCAGCCTGACTCAGACTGACTCAAGAAATGAAGGGGCACAAACCTCCACGGAGCCTCCCCGTCCACCCACACACCCCTTCCTCCACTTGACCCTAAGCCCCAGCTCCGACTCACTTGGTCTCAATCAGGATGTCGGCGTTGGTGGGATTCAGCACAGCTTTGCAAATCAGCTCCTGGGTCACTGGGATGGATTTGTTCATGGACACGCAGAGGTCAGAGAGGTAATCCAGGAACCTAACCAGAGACGGAAAACAGGACTGGAGAGAGAGCAGAGGCTTGGCGGGAGGGGTTGATTCCTCCTCAGGTGGGTAGTTCCCACACGGAGGCCAGGGTGCCTGTGACCACGGCACCACCAGAACCCAGGATGAAGGAACAAAGGAGTCAAAGAATAGAGATGGCAGTGATTATGGCCAAGGAAGAGCCGATCAGGCCAAAATGAGGAGGGGGAAAGCAGGAGAAAGAGTCCACGTCAGGAAGAGGTGGTGAGAGCCTGAGTGGTTGGGCTGGGCTCTGGGAAGCCTGGCCGGGGTGCTGACTCACTGTGCTGATAGGGACAGTCATTTGGAGAAATCACTTAACCTCATTATACTTCAGTTTTCCTATCTACAGAAAAGGAGGTTTAATTCCAGAGCTCCATCCTGTGGGTACGGGAAGTGCCTCCTGGGCTCCCTTCCTGGCCCCCAGCAGCCCTGTGAGATGCGGGTTGTTTTTATGGGTGCAGTCATGTCCTCTAGCAGCCCTAAGCAGCTCTCCAGTGGGGGCACTCGTAACAGCAGCAATGGCTGCGTCTGCAAAAGACTTACTGATGATATCCTGGGGGTGGGATCTGCCTGGTATTCATGGGGTGCCAAAAAGGAAATGAGTGGCCAACTGTAATTACAGTTTACTCTGCATCCATTACAGGCTAACCTCTCTTCACGAATAGTTACTTGTGTCTGATTTTCATAACTACCTGTTGAGCAGGTGAGGGAATTAAAACTGGGGAGGAAAGCCACAGTCCTCCAACAGGGAAAGATGTTGGGAGCTAGGATCCCACCTGGTACCTCATCCACTACTGCATCCCTGCCAATCATCCACAGCCACCTGAGACCTGCCTAACTAAAACCTGCCACTGGCAGCCCCCAGGACAGTGCGCCCGGTAAGAGCACCAACCCATACCTGAGATGCCCAGACACCTCCCCATCCACCCCGCTAGCACCTCACCTGGGCTCCCTGTTCTTTCGCACCAGRCTGACAAATGTGTCTATCTCGGCCGCTGTGATGTGCTTCTCCAGGAGTTTCCGGTTATTGTGGAGCAGGGCAGTAATGGTGTCCTCGGCCAGTACATCATAGCCGATCTGCTTCTGCATGAAGCCGAACTGCTTGGCTATGTACTCCTGTAAGGGGCAGAAAAGAAAGGTCAGCAGAATGATYGACAGTGTGGCTCCCATGTAACAGGACAGCAGCAGCACCCCCAGAAGAGAAGTACCCCTTAGCAGGCAGATCCCAGGGGCCACCTTCCACAGCTTTCTGTCCTGGGGCAACAGCTGCCAACTCCCTGGTACCCCTTATTTTACTAAACCTGCCCCACAGATATCATTAATCAAAACTCCTTGTATTTACATGTGGATTTTTGAAGTATATGGTATAAATTTTAATCAGATGACTTATTTTTCCATAAGGTCAAAAGTTATTATTCAGTTCTGTGTTTAGTACTAATTCAACAGGACTTAACTGTGCCTTGTTCCTCTGTGTGCTGTTGAATTAACACCGACAAAGCCTATCTAGACATTTGGAATCGTGTTACCATATTTTGCTTACATGGGGAGGGAGGGTGGAGATAATAATTATTATTTTTATGGTACCAGGGATTGAACCCAGGGGTACTTAACCACTGAGCCAACATCCCCAGCTCTTTTATATTTTTCATTTTGATACAGGTCTCACTGAGTTGCTTAGGCCCTCCCTAAATTGCTGAGGCTGGCTTTGAACTTGCAATCCTCCTGCTTTAGTCTCCTGAGCCACTGGGATTACAGGTGTGTGCAACCACGTCTGGCAAGAAATTCATTTTTAAAGTCAATGAATAGAAGAAAGTTGGGAATATCTAAGCCAATTGATCATATTAATAGGCTACTTCCTATTAATAAATAAACAAGCCCATCTTTGGCCTTCTTTCTTTGGGCTCACATATCACATTCCATAAAAAATATCTGTGAACTCAAGGAACCTGTTGCAAATAGTTGTTTGCTTTTATTCAAAAACAGCTCCCTGCCCAAAAAAGACTGTTTGCTATGGTATAATTTGCCTCGAATCCATTCCAAGTTGTGTATTTGTTTTCCAATTAAAAAATTACAATAAAAAAGATTGCATGCTCCAAGTTCAAGTGACTCTTCAAACTGGCTTTATTTTTTATTAGTTCTTACATCTTGGGGGCAATTCAGGATTAACATGGTGGCCGTGGGCCACATATACTCAATAAGAGTACATGTTTGGGAATTCACTGGCCTTCAGAGATACAGCTCTGCCAACTTGCACAAGATCCATAAACCACTAAGGAAAGACATCCACTTCAGCAGCACCAAGAGGGACTGGTTTAGTTTCCTCGCAAACAAGCAACATGTCCTGGCAGACACGATGGGGCCTGCAGAATCCTCCTCCCAAGAATGAGAGAGGAGCAGAGTAAGATCTCCATCTATAGTATTGTACACAGAGCAGGCTTTCTTAATCTCAGTATTATTATTATTACTACTGCTATTATTCTGGTTTCGGTACTGGGGATTGAACCCCAAGGATCTTTACCACTGAGCTACACCTTGTGTTTAGTTTTGAGACAGGGTCTTGCAAAGTGTTGGAGGCTGACCTCAATTCACTATCCTCTTGCCTCAGCTCCCAAATCACTGGGATTACAGGCATCTGTCACTGCACCAGGCTTTAATCTCAGCACTATCAACATCTGGGGTGAGATAACTTGTTACTGCAGAGGGCTGTCCTGAATATCGTATACCATCCTGACCTCTACCAACTGGATGACAGTAACACTCCCCAGCTGTAACTGTCAAAAGTGTCTCTAGGCATGCCAGCTGCTTCTTGGGCTCACAATGACCCCTGGTACAGAACCAATGACGTAGCCACAGAGTTCTCAGTTTCATTGGATCTCAGTGTTTTTTGGAATGCCACTCCAAGAAGTTACCCCATTTATTTCATAGGGAGAATATATTGTATTATGTGTGCATAGATACAAAAACAMACACACACACACACAAACACACACACACACACACACGGTTGTAGTTATAGTTAATAGCTTAGGATATCATAGAACAATGGCTGGAACCAAACTAAAACAAGTTATTAACAGAGATACAGGATCTAGAAGGCAGTAAAAAGTTAAGATTCCACTGTACTTATAACATAATTACTTTACCACTCACCCTTCAGGGAAGGGAATATGCCATAAAAAAAAATACCATAAATGTCCTATCAGTTTCAAAATCAGAAATCTCACTGAAAGGGGAATTTCTGGTACCTCTTAATTTTTTTTTAATTTCTTATTCTTTTCATTTTCGTAATTGGACCTATTTTGGTGGCACCATATGATGTTTCCCCAGTGTCTTTCTTAAGGATTCTATAATACATCTTCTCCCCAGGCTTGCAAACTACCTGTGCTGCTGAGCAAGGCACATGAACTCAAGGGGGGAGACAGTCACTTCCCACCACCCTTGACCCCCACCTGGTTCTTTCTGTAGTCTTGCTGCGAATGTCGCAGGACCCGGTAGCAGAGCCGGCAGATGTGTCTGAAAGGAGCATGCCGCTGGTCCCCCAGTTCCTCCAGGCGAAGCATGGGGCCATCCCCACAGTCTGTGAATGGGGCCTGCAGCAGCTTGAAGATCTGCGTGTGAAAATCAAGAATATAGACTGCTCACTGGATGCTTGGCAGGAGCAAGCCCTCCGTCTGGAAGAGATACTACCTCGGGACACCTGCATCCATCCCATCAGAGAGCTTTCCCACCCCAGCAAGTCAACAGCCTGAGACCTGCATTCAGTCCGTCAACTGACATCAGGGGCTCAGTCAGCATCCCTTCCCGGTCCTCACAGGCATGAGAGGACACTGCTGAGAGCAAGGAAGTGAAGGGCAGAGGCTGCCCATATAGATTTCAGACGCACCTCCAGGACGGCTTCTGAACCCAGGTGTCTGCAGGTCTCCACCCAGGTACATGCTGATCTTGGGAAACAGCTGACCTGTACCTTCTGGGAAACTCACTAGCCTTTGTAACCATCTGTGACGCCATTGCCCTTGCTTCCTGAGACTCTGTCTGGTCCCTTTCTTATAAGACAGGTTGACCTTTACTGCACCAATCAGAATTCCAGATGAGATGTAATTAATAAACCCCCTCACAGTTCAGGCTATAAATAGATTCCATCTTATAAAACCTCAGAGCATTTTTTCAAAGATGCTTCATTTGGATGCCTCCATAATTGTACTCAACGCGATGGAGGTGAACATCGTCTTTCTTTATTCTTAATTTGATCTAGGTAGATACTTCTTAGCAGTACAGATCATGGTCAAAGTAAGATTCTGTCTTCTCATCATTAAAATGCAAAAAATAATCCCTGCATCACAAGGGTGCTAGAGGGAAGAGAGCAGATAACTGTCCATCTGGAAGCCCGGTGGCCTACGTAGAGATCGCTGAAATCTCCTGCCACTGAATCACACTGCCTTGGCCCCTCAAGGAACTGCTGTTGTGGAACTGAGTGTTGGCAGTAAGCCAGATGTCTAATTTGTCTACTCAACACTTGAACCTGCTGGATATAATTTATTCTTGGATTGAAACTCCTTGTTTAAACATGAATTTTGTCTATCACAGACCCAAAGGAAAAGGACTTCCAAATGCCTAGTTCCCAGGAAGAACTTTGGGGCTTGCAACTAGTGCATTTCTCTTTTGGCTCTGTAAGCCAGCAACACCCGAGACAAGACTCCAACCACTTAGAGAACTGGTATGTATTTCTACATATTTATTCTATCCTGGATTCAGGACTTTCCTACCTCAAATTTGTCCTTACACCAGTATGTTTAAGTTGATTCCATCTCCGTATTTCCTGCAACCACCGATAACTCTATGGAAAGCAGACAGCTAATCCCCGCTACACCACAGCTCACCCACCTGCTTCAGAATATTCTGTTCTCTCATCAGCTTCTGCCGTTCTCTGTTGGGCTTGGAGAAGACCACTTCAAGCACATCTTGGCCAGAGTTGGTTCCACCAGTGACAAAGTAGACCAAGTCCTCCAGCAGCTTGGTTACAGACCTTAGGAGGAAAGAGGCCAGGAGAGACAGTGTTCACCCTCTAAAAGGATGGAAGCTTCTCCTGGGCCTCCCTCAACCCCCTAGACAGGAAAGGACCCTTCTTTCCAGTTTTCTTAAAATCCACAACCAAGGGCTGGGGTGGTGGCTCACTGGTAAAGCATTTGCCTAACACTTGTAAAGCACTAGATTCGGTCCTCAGCACCACATAGAAACATAAATAAAATAAAGGTATTGTGTCCACAACTAAAAAAAAAATATTTAAAAAAAATTCACAGCCAGGTCCACTTACTCGAATGACTGACACCTAAACCAGGCAGTGTTTTCCATAAGAGGACCACCTTCACAAAATATCAGCCATGAGAGTAACCCCTGACATTTAGTAAAGTAATCCCAGGATGGAGGGAGGGGGGCGGAGAAAGAGTGGGAGGAGGGAGCTCTTCACAACTGTGGAAGCTCTCAAGAAACCAAATGCAAAATGACCTATTCCTGGGAATCACAAATGGAAGCCACCCAGGGACACTCAGAGCCGCCATCGCAGACATGGCTATTTGAAGACTCCATCCTCTCACTCCCCAGGGGATTTCTGGGATCCACAGGGGTGGGGATACGCAGGGGCCCTCACCTGCGCTCATTCTGGGTGATGGTGCCCTTCTCCAGCTTCCCAGCAATGGAACCCAGCACCTTGCTGGCGTCGTTGGCAAAGTCCAGGTCCCGAACTTCAGCAGGAGAAACTGGGACTATGGCAAACGCCTCCTTGTCCTCCTTCACGGGAGAGGTGCCAATCTGAAAGTCAAGATGGTCTTTGTGGGACAATCTTGGGTGGAGAAGGTAAGGCATTAAGTGGATAACTCATCGAGCCGGTATCGCGCAATCCAAGCAACTTGGAGCTATCTTGCAATTAAATAAAATTCAGGAACACATCTTGAAGGATGCACTTCAAATGGCTAATAGCTGTCTCTAAAAGCTCGTATCATAGGGATCACTCAGGTAGGAAAGGGGCACTATTATCAGTTTACAGCTTCACTTGTCAAAGGAAGCCTATGAGATTCTTGAAATTAAAGAGAAAAATGTTTATTATTACAGAAAAAAAAGACAGAAAATACAAATGGTGGGTGATTTTAATACCAATTACAGAGTACCATAATGATAGACAACTGTGCCATTCTTTCAACTTTTCTAGAAAGCTGAAAAGACTCAAATAGAAGAAAAAAGAATCCAGTCACCTTCCCCATCACYGCCACCCCCCAAAAAAGTTATGTTAGACCATGCTTCCATGTTTTAAAGACAAGTGTGTTTATGCTGTATGAACCTGGAGGCTGTGGGGTAGGAGAAGCGGGGAGAGGGAATAAGAGACTGGGAGAAGTTTTGAGAAACAAAAGCATGAAATTAAATACATAGAGAGATAAAGAAAAAATAAATATTGAGGAAAATTAACTGGATATCTGAGGTACCTCAAGCCACAGCAAACATTCTCCTCGCCAAAATTATCATTCAGACAGACATGAGTTACAGACAATTGTTCAACTGCTGGGGCTGGAGCCATCAACCAACAAATAAGTCAATAAAAGATTCTAGTTATTTCAAAAGCCCTTACTTTGCTTCATCCAGGTCCTTTAGAGAAAATTCTTTCATCATATTCAAGTTTGGCTATAATCATGCTTTTGTTAAAGCTTAAAAAAAAAAAAAAAAAAAGAGCCCACTTCACAGCTCCGTATTTCCATCTGTGCTCAAAGGAGCCCTTTCAGGAGGGAGCACGGGGCAGAGGGGAGGCAGCTGAGCACAGGACTCACCTTCAGCATCACGGGCTTTTCCTCCTCCTTGTCAATGGGAATGTTTGTGCTGTGGACCCAGGTATTTGTGCACAGGTGTCTGAGCCGGACATAGGAGTTCCTAAAGGATAATAAAAGAGAAGGGTTAGGGACAAGAAGAGTTAGGTTTACTCCACAGCCCTGGGTCTAGAATACATTCTCTGAAGAGAGAAAGGGACACCCAGGTTTTCTCCCTGCATACCACACAGTAGGGACTCAGGAGTCCCTGGCTCTGGTCCAAGTCACGCACAGTCTGAAGTACTTACAAGAGAAAATAATTCATAAGGACTCTAGGGTTACCGTAATGGTCTATATTTCTAAATGTAAGATTGTACCCTGTGAATAAACATCTCAGTAAAAATGGAACATGAGACAGAGCAGCAAGAAGTTCTTACTCAGTATCTATTAGTGCTTGTCACAAGAGGCAATAACCAAGATTTCCTTATACGCCAATAAAGAAAGAAATGAAATCACAAAACTCCTGGAAGAAAATTATGAGTACTATTTGCTAATCTTGGGAAGGAAAGCTTTCTGAAGTGTGTAATAAAGTATGAAGTCTCTAAATTTTTAAAAGAAGGATAAATTTTACATCTTCTGTAGAAGGCTGTGTGTGTGTGCGCGCGCGCATGCGTGTGTATATTTTGAACAAAGAAAGATAACACATAACATAGAAAGGTAATTAACTAATCCACACATATAAAGAATTCCTACAAATCAATAAGAAAAACCTGATGTAAATGGGACAAGGACACAAACCAGTAATTCAAAAGTAAAATAGAAATGACTGATAAACAAGGAAGTTCTACATTAAACGTTTGCAGTATATAATTTTCTCAAATTAAGACAACATACCATTTTATTCCATCACATTTCAAAGATCTTAAAGACAGATTAAAGTTAGTATCAAAAAGAGCTTAGGGAAATAAGTTCTCTTGTATATTTTTGTTGTTTGGTGCTCGGGGTGAAACCCAGGGCCTCACACATGCTAAGCATGAGCTCTACCACTGAGCCACACCCCATTCCTGTGCACTGTTGGTGAGTTGGTGAGAGTATAACCAGGTAAAACTGGGGAAGAGTCTGGCTCTTTGTGTAACATGTACTTGTCCTTTCATCTAACAATGGCAATTTTACATGTCTTCCTTAAGAGATAATAGCTAAGGTGTAAAATGTGGCCCAAAGATGTTCAACAAAGCATTATGTATCATAGCACAAATCTATAAACAATCTCATGCCTCAGGAATGGAGGATTTAATTATAGTACAGCAAGAGAATACTACACAGTTATTTAAAATATGATCATTGATGATTATTTACTTGGAAACATGTTCAAAACATGTTATTTATAAGTTAAAAAAAATGTTAAAAGTGTTGGGTACAGTGGTGCATGCCTATAATCCTTGGAGGCTGAGACAGGAGGATTGCAAGTCAGAGTCCAGTCTCAGCAACTTCGCAAGATTGTCTCAAAAAAATAAAATTAAAATGGCAGGGAGTGTCACCCTGGGTTCAACTCCTAGTATCCCCCCAAAAGTAAAAAATAGCTTATGATAAATCACAATCATCTCTGTGTGCCCAGGAACCTCACTAAAACTACCTGAACCAAAATTTTAAGTCATAAATTCTGAATGATTGAGTTGTACGTAATTTTTACTTGCTTCTCTGTTCTCCACAGGGTTTACAAAACTGCTGCTGTTGTTCCTACAACGAGTGTGAATCAAGTTTACCATGCTTTTCTTCTGAAGATGTAGCAGAAAAAATATGACATAATTCTTGCACTTCAAGAGCCTATCATCATCCCCTTAGGGAGACAAGGTGAATACACACCAAGTGATTAGAAGTTAGAGGACTGGACAGAGGCACTGAGAGGACCCAGAGAAGCACAAAGTTCTCTGTACCAGCTGGAGCTGGGACAGGGGCACAGAGGGAGAATGGAAATCATTTATACCCAGAGGAGTTTAGAACAATGACAAGCTACATTCATGGGACAGGGGAGCAGATAAACCAGACATACACCTGTGTACACCCTCTGCCTGCCATCAGAGCTGCCCCAAACCCTGCAAGCCAAGCCAGAAGGAGCAAACCAGGGTGGCATTTACTCTGATGAGCATGAATATAAATTCAACGACAGGAACGAGATGTTTAACAAAGAGATCGGCATTTATTTATGTTTTGTTGTTGTTCTGAGTGACTTGAATTCATTTTCTTTATTTTCAAGACAAAACCAAAGAACAGCGCTTAGCTTTTAGCTGGTAACATTCTACACAGTTCTAGATCAGATTTCATTGAAGACCCAAAGGGCATGCTATTGATTCTTTTAAAATCTAAAATCTCATTCCCAATCCTTAACTCAAAAACCAGGAAAGAGGGGTGGGGTTGTGGCTCAGCAGCAGAGCACTGAGGCCCTGGGTTCAATCCTCAGCACCACATTAAGATAAAGGTATTATGTCCAAGTACAATAACAAATGAATATTTTAAAAAATATGAAAGAGAGCCAGGACAAAAAAGCCCAAGCAGATGCTCTCATGAATGCATCTGATTTATGCATGCTGCAATTTTATTATCTTGCTTAGTATATCCAGGGTTGGCCATTAACCCTCTCACTTTGGCTCAGAGGATTCTTTCAATCAGTGACTGCCACCAAAATGTTCTTCCCACTAACAGCTCTCATATGTTCATGCATTTAACCTGATACTTTCTGATCCTCAAGCAAAATTTAGCATGACTTTAAAATGGAGAGAAATAAATATATTCCTTCTAAAGGTCTTTCTTAGAATCTATGAATAAGAGGCCTTGTTCTCCTCTGGCTCTGAAGTAGGAGGCCAAGGGCAAGAATGAAGGAAAAAATGTAAAAGCCAAGACCCAGTCCAAGACCACAGGTGAACAGACGAGTGGACCGAGCCAGATGCTTCCCCTGCAGGGCTGAACACAAGCCTTCCTTGGCTTCTGAGTCCAGAATCAGTCTAAGGACATCTGTCTACAAAGAAAGTCGGCCAACAGACAGAAAAGAATGGAGGGAACACAGAGGCTAGGGACACCAACCAGCCAAGACTGCTTAGTCAGCTGATACAGACACTCGTGCTCTCCCCGTCAGGGGGATTTCCAGCCCCCAGGGGGACAGGCCAACCGATCTCCCATTGCCTGCGCCAAGGGAACCCCTGAAGAAGGTTCCCATGGAACACATACCCTTCTGTTCTCTGCCCTCACAAACTTCCACATTTAGCAAAAAATAAGAACATCTTTGTCCTGTCTTCTGAGATGCTAAGAAAAACTCCTTAAAGAACTTTCAGAACTGAAGATACATGTAGAAAGTCACTTAAACTGAAATGCAGGTGGGTTCTCCAGACCAATACCCATCCAGGTGTGACAAGGAGGCCATCAATGAGAAAGGAAGCTTTTGAAAAGCAATAAACCCTACATCCAAGACACTTCAAAGGACCTCAAAATGAATCAAAGACCTACGTGCAAAGAATGAAAACTGCAAAACTGTTACAAGAAAACACTACCATCGATTTTTGAGAGCTTGTATCAAAAACAAAACCATGAGCTCAGTAAAACAGATACATTGGACTTCTACAAAATTTATAACTCTCGTGCATCAGGGAAATAAAAAGACAAATGGGAAGAAAATATTTGCAAGTCATTTATCTGATGAGGTGTTTGCAGCTGAATAAAGAATAAAGAATGCCTATCACTCAATGATAAAGACATAAAACTTGAAGTTGTTAAATATAAAAGAACAGCAAAGGGCCGGGCACGRTGGTGCACACCTATAATCCCAGCAGCTCAGGGGGCTGAGGCAGGAGGATCGAAGGTTCAAAGCCAGCCTCAGCAACAGCGAGGTGCTAAGCCACTTGGTGAGACCCTGTCTCTAAATAAAATACAAAATAGGGCTGGGGATGGGGCTCAGTGGTGGAGTGCTCCTGAGAGTTCAATCCCCAGCACCTGCCCCCACTCCAAAAAAAAAAAAAAAAAAAGCAAAAGATCCAAACAGATATTTCTTCAAAGAAGACGGACCAGTAGCCAAAAACATGGAAAGATGATAGACATCATCAACATCAGAGAAATGCAAATCAAACCTACAACAAGCTGAATCTTGATGCCACCCAAGCTGTGGTTGTTAGCTTCCTTGAGCAGGAGACCTACAATGCATCCATGAGGAAGGAAACACCAAGAACTACTCAGTGAGAGAGCCCGACGTAGAGCCCACCAGCACCAGGGACATTCCCACCCACCAATCTTGTGCTGAAGACTTAGAGGGGCTGCCCCCACAACCCTGCCATAGACATGTAAGATCTGGGTTCTCCTATGAGACTCTCTGATGTGCAACAAGTTGCTTTATAGATAAAGTGTGGACACTACATCTGGCAGAATTTCTTGCAGTGACAAAATTATATAAGTTATATACTCAGCATTGTGTCAGCCATGTAGTTAGTGTTCAATAAATGTTAGCTACGAGTAATAATATTGCTGTTCACCTTAAGAATAGGCTTTTGTCCCATCTATAGTCCAGTTATTTAAAAATGCATTCTCAACAAACTGTGCCATGTGCATGCATGAATGTATCATAATGAATCCCACTTTATGTGTAATTATAATGCACCAATTAAAAATAAATAACTAGGAGGGAGACCAGGAGAGGAGAGGAAGGGGGCAGGGTGGGGGGAAGAAAAGGGGAGTATTCAGGCATGAAACGGAACAAATTATGTTACACACAAGTATGAACTGGTCACAATGAGACCTGCTATTATACCTAGTTAAAATGCCCTAGTAAGAAACCTAATAAAAAATGCATTCTTAGGCAACAAAAACAAGAGTTAAATCGAAGATTCTAAGAATGCTGATCTAACTTCTCACTACTTTGGGTAAAACTTAACGACACACAGAGTGAATTTTAGTAGTTTGTCTTCTAAAATTTCAAGTTTTTATTCAGTTGATCAAGAGGTGGCCCAGGTATGGGGAAGGAGGGAGAGAGGAACTTAGGCAATAATGTGCCACTAAGGGTTAAGGTCTGGCTTGTTACCTACAGATGATAAACTTATCCAACCATGGAGAACTTACCACTGCTGACCATTTGAAAATCAGGTGCCCTGTTGGGGCGGCCAGTCCGAATCCTTTATAAAGGCTTAAAGAAAAGGCCATTAGGATTTGGATTCCAAGAAGCATGGCCCGGTTGCCTTGACCCCGCCCCCCCCCATCCTCTTGTTTGATTAAGCAACACTTAAATCATACCTTGGGACAAGGCTGTCACCTCCACGGAGCGTGGTGGGGTCGAGCTCAAAAATGGAGGAGATGTCATTGCCTTCAGGCACAGAGACCAGGGAGTAGACCATCTTTTCCTGGGCATTCCGCAACCTGCTTCGGGAGGCGTCCTGATCGGGGTCCACCTGTGGGTCAAAGTCATCCAATGAAGACCTGCGTATGCCAAAGCCCTCACCATAACCATTCCTGGGTCCACGGGAGCAGGAGGGACACAGTGAATGGAACGGTGGCAGCCGGCAGGAGGACCAGGTTCAGAGCAGTCCTGAAAGGTGATCATCGGCCACCTGAGAGGAGAACACTGGCTCTCTACCTCGTCGCATTGCAATAAAGACATTCACGTGAAGGGGGCGACAATAATCTCCATGGAAAGAGGGAGGTAAAGATCTTGAGAGAGCTGCCCACCTGCAGCAGCTGGGGACAGGGAATGCACTTTGAGGAAACTATCTGGTGGATTTAGTCATTCACAGTTGCTGATCTATAGTGACAGGTGTCTCCCAACTACACAGAACAGCTGCTTCCCAGGAGAGAAAATACAATGAAACCTGAATCCAAGTGTTCATAAGCAGCAATCCCAGTGTGGCTTAATCACAACCAAAAATTATATACATATGATGTCACGAGCCCTGAAAAATACTATGTGCAATTAACTGGGGGACTGCTGGGACTGCTGATGGCCGTGCAGGGAGAAAGGGCTTTCTTAGTACACTGAACTGTGGCTGAGGTGGAAGAAAATCCCTAATGGGCAGGCTGAGGAGCAATGACGAAAGCTTCCCTGGGAAAACGGAGCCCATGGGCCCAAGGACATGGAAAGAGCGAGCTCAGCGTGGGCACCTGCTCTATGTGAGCTTTGCAAGCTCCCCCTCAGCACGGTGACTGTGCWTGGGACCATTTTAATGCCCGGCATCCCTGCAAGATGACAACATCCACCCATATCTACTGGGAAAACCACATTCCCCCCAGCAGTAGTTTGCTTCTCTCAGGCTGAAGCGACATCTCCTTCCCACTCAGAGGAAGGGGACCAAGAAGACAAGAGAATCAAGAAAACCAGTCAATTAAAGGCAAAGGGGAGGGCGTGAGAGAGTTGAACTCAACCGGCCTGAGACCCAGGAGCACAGGCAGTAGCCTGCTTATTCCTTTCATTGGCAGCCCTGATTTCTGTCCGTTAGAATCAAAAAGTTCTTCTGTAGGGTAGACAGGCCTGGTGACTACCCGCAGGTGCACCTGAGGCCCCAGCTGCTTAGCAAGCCAAGACAGGAAGAGCCCATGTGCCCAGAAGCTCGAGGCCAGGCTGGGCAACATAGCCAGACCCCTTCTCAAAAACAAACAAACAAAATACCCCCAACCTCTGTTCCTTTCCTCCCTCCTGCTTTGCCCTCTAGTAAACTACACCTCTTCCTAAAGGAACCCAAGCTCCTTTATTCTTTCTACGCTGAATTAACAGCTGGAATATGGCTAGGCCACCTCTGCACCCTTAGCTCAGAATAAAGGACCTGGGGCCTCTGTTCTCTCCTCACTGCCATCACCTGTCAATCACTCCACACACCACCTTCAAAATCAAGTCAGACCCGATTTTATGGTTTGAGACACAGGGTTCGGCTCCAAGCGGCTGGTGGCATCTCAGACACCTGCAGCAGCCCTCCAGGAAAATGTGTGTGGAATTCTATTGGCGTGTGTGGAAATTCCACAAGCTCACACTGCAGGTGCAGTCAGCGCCTGCCACCTAGTGGGGAGAGAGTGCTTGTGCAAAAAGAGCAGAAGAAGCCTTGGTGCCCTTTTCCTCCCCCTGGGAGCAAGTAAGTGGCCTGGGGGTGCTACTGAATTCAGAATGAGCCTAAGAAAGCTGAGGTGTTGTTTGAAGCGAAAAACCAGAGGCAGGGGAGGCCAGCCTAGGGGACGAGAAGGAGCAGAGGAGAGTGAGATGCTTCCTCGTCCGACTATACAACCCTAGCTTTTCCCTCTAAGTTTCCAAGCCAAGAAGAGGGTTCAGGGTGCAGGATCCTCCCCAAACTAAAGCCCTGCCCACAGATGCAGAAGAAGGTGTGGCACTGGTCTGAGGGGAGCAGGTAAGGCCCTCTTACACTCCTGCCCATGGGACCGCAGCCTGAGCCGTCTCAGACTAGCTAGCAATGCAGTTCCGACCTGTACCCCATCCTGCAGCTCGTCCCACCTCCCTGGCACAGAGAAGCATGAGACATAGAAAGACTGCTGAACCCGGAAATGCAGGAAGAGTCGGGATAACTCAAAACAGCAGCTTCCTCCTCTGTCAGATGAACATCTTAAGACCTGTCCTAACCCCCTCCATGCCTCTGAACATAACCTGGTGGATGTGAAGGTACTAAAAATGCTAATAATCTCAGACAGCTTTTTAAAATGTCCTTGTAGAGAGCAAAGAATTGAGGCTCAGGGAGGGAAAGTATCTGGTTTAAGGGGGCACAGCTTCTAAGTGGTGGGACTGGTATTTAAACTCAGATCTGTCTTACTCCCCTGCTCCCTGCTTGTCATTGCTAGGCACTTCTTCCTGCACCAGAAATGCCTGTCCCCCCTTGAACACTAAGAGCCCAGGAGGGCAGTCCTTCTCCCCTCAGCACCCAGGGGTCACTAGGATAGCAGCGCCCACTGCAGGAAGCCAAGGCTTGCCTAATCTCAGAGGTGACACTCCGTATTACCTGATGGCACCACATACAAGTTGAGAGAGACAGTCCCTGCTTTTGACATTAAGAAGGTGCTAGATAGAAGTGGAAATGACATACGAAAAAGAAAGCCCTGTCAGGCCAAGCTGCCCCATAGTGCCCACGTGTCCCAAAACCTGCTGAGGGCTTTTAGGATGGGTTTCCTCACATGGCGCCAGAAAGCTGGATGAAGTCAGTGCTTTCCAAGCCACAGCAACCGTGCAAGGTGAGCTTTCCAAATGCCTCCAACGTGAGGGTGACGAGGACAAAAAGCAGCAAGGGGAACCCCAGGGGCTCCACCATGCAGCAGGAAAAGGAACAGAAGCCCCAGCAAGACCATGTATTGACAAGCAGAGGCCCTGAGAGACAGCTCTTGAACTTCCTTCAGAGCCAATCTCCCACCCGAATACAACTAGAAGGTAAGMCGTTAGTGCAGAATTCACAGTTCCCACTCCACCTCTACTCCCTTCATGAGTATTTTAAAGTCCTTTCGATGTTCACCAAAATTTTTCTAGAAAAAGAAACACCCCCAAGATCACCTACCACATCTACCAGATGCACAGAACGTCACATGAGCAGCCACTATTGGTTTTGTTTTGTTGTTTTTCAATCCCAGACCAGAACCAAGCACTCCACAAGAGAACTATTTTATACCATAAAACACTGCCACTGCCTTCTTCAGCCGTGACCATGGACTCCTGGACCCCACGCGCCTACGTATCAGCATGACCTGGCAGATGATGGTCTTCAGAGAAAACTCCATCTCCTGTTGCTATTCCAAATCACACTGTAAATCATGTTATACCCTGAAGCCTTTTCCTGACCATGTACAAAGCAGGACAGGGGGTCAGACAATTATCCCTCAGACACAATGCCCGCCAGGCCTCATGGGCTACTTCTACTATCCATTTAGCCTCATTTCTTGAAAAATAGTCACAGATTGAGGTTTACAGCAGTAAGACAACTGCTTGCCACAGCACCATCTCCAGCCTAGGAGGACTCCAAAAGATGCCACGTGTTTCTCCAGCCTAAGAAGTGGGACACTGGACTGAGCACACAGCCCAGCAATCCCTTGGACGAATTGGGACATAAGAGGACATGATTTCCTTTAAGAGAAGCACAGAATGAGACCCTCTTTCCCCTTTCCCAGTGCTCCATGGCCACCCTGGTAGCTTCTGAAATGGGGTTTCAGATCATTTGGCCTCACCCTACCGCACGGACACAAGAAGGCTCTTTCCCATACTTACTGAGGGCTGAAACTCCAGGCACTCTTCCTCAAAGTCAGGGTCTACCTGATGAAAAAGAATCATGAGGATATTAAAACATCCATTCCGGCTTTCACAAGGACTGGGACCCATCTGCAGGAGAATTCCACTCCTGCAGCCATCCTGGGACAGCTGAGCAGCTGTCCCCCCTCTATCCACGAAACCAGCATGCCACAACACCACCACATGCCACACAGGTGCGACACACACGAACAATCCACCAGCCACCAGAGGACGCTGTTGAGTACACACAAGGAACACACCACCAGGTCACTGGCAAAGCAACAGGCAGAAGCCTGCGGTGAGTAAAAGATCAATACGCGGTCCCTGAGAGTCCCGCTGATTGTTAGTTAAAAAGAAAAAGGAGGTCTCTAAGAAGAGCTACATTCACCTCAAGACATATAAAGCAAACACCATTGATCTTCAGCAAACCAGGTAATCAAAGTTTCTCACAATGGATTAGCTGTGTCTGTAACTCCCTGAGGCTCCATTATGAATTTCAACTTAGCCTTCTTGATCTTTGGTTAAATATTTTGAAATCACTGGTCCATTCCAGTCTCTGGTGCTCCAGGGAGTCACAGGTTAGAGTCCCCATTCCGGGGGGTGAGGGGTGAGCGGTGGGGTGGGGGGTGGTCAGCCACACAAGCAATACTAACACCCTTATGCACACCGGGAAACCTCTGGGCAGTCCTGCTGGGTGGACCAGGTAACAGGAGGGGTCATTTGAGGCACAAGTAGAATCTGACATGAATTTGCATCATACATGATCCAGCAGGACCAAAGACAGATTCAACATCTGCCATGCAGTAGGACAGCTCCTTCATTTAATATAAAAATTATAAGGCAAATTCCTCCTGTCCTTTCATCAGAGGCCCTTTATAGACACGTAAGGTCAAGTTAATTTCTCTGATTTCTGACATTCTATTTCACTAAGGCTCTGAATAATCAGAATTTTTTCCTAAAACTGTCCATTTCTTGATGCATTTTAATGCTTCTGACTTTATATACCACGTTTCCACTATGACTTAGTCTCAGGACAGGAGTGGGGCTGACAGATGAGATGTGAGGACAGGGAAATATCCCAGGGCAAATACAAAGATCATCGTCCAAACACAGAAGAGCCTTATTCTCTAACTTGCTTTCTTCCCACATCTTGATCAAAACCCCTGCCAAGTTCTTAAACGTGTGAGTCAGTTTTATATCTTTTCTTYTAGGGAAATGAGGCAGAAGGATGCAGAAAAGCAAGTTGACCGAGCAGAACCCGGAGCCTCCATCTACTAGGTGAGTCGGGAACGTCAATCGGATGCCTCAGCTTCAAAGCGAACAACCGAGGGCTGCCACTTACCTCCGCTGCTAGGTAGTGCCCTGTGGCCAGGTGCTTGAAGCGGAAGAGGCTGTTCCAGTACCCGGCTCCACCTCGGCACGGGTCATGTTGGACTACCTGAGAGTGTTAGAAAAGATCAGTGAGTCGGAGAAATGCCAGCTCACACCAAGATGGTGCGATCTGAGACATCACAAGTTGAGTTCAGAAAGGGGCATTTTCAAGTTGGAAAAAAAAAAGTATCAGTATCTTCCAACAAACCTACTGCAAGTGTCACATGTAACATTCAAATTCAAACACCTGAAAGTATTAAAATGATACTTTTCCAGAGAAGGTGTAAAGTCTCCCAGTTAACATGCAGTGTTTGGGGTAAAAGCTTCAATGGATTTCAGATTCTTTACCTCAATGCTCATGAAATAAAAGATTCTGAAACTCATCCACAAAACACACAGCTGATAAAAAGGATTTTCATGGGGAACTTTCAAAGCAATCTACATATCCTCCTGTGCCAGAACACACAGTCAGGCCTGTGCTCAGAAACACAAATCTCTGTCTGGGCCAATTGATTGAGAAAATACGTGTAACTTCAGTTTCTAGCCACAATACAACAATCAGCATCGACAGGTGGCACTGTGACAATTAGATACCACACGAAGTAGTGAAAATCTCCATTCAGAAGTAGAAAACTGGGCAAATCGTCTCAGATTCCCCCACCCCACCCCACCCCATACTGGGGATCGAACCCAGAGTACCATGCATGCTAGGCAAGTGTGTTACCACTGAGCTACATCCCATGCCCAAATATCTGGGTAAAATGTATGAAACAACCTGTCGGACAACAGGTGACACACATGTGATTTCTGAGAATAGAGGCACAAACAATGCAAGCTCTAGGATGTCTCTGGTTTTCTCACTGGGGAATTCAAGCTGAGCGCCCCAGGTTCATGGAGTTGAGGAGATGAAGTGGCGTTTAGAGAAACTGAGGCAGCTGGAATTTGTGGGGTAGAGCTCTGAAGAATATGGAGTTACATCCAGAATGAGCCCCAGAAATGTGCAGAGAGGCCTCCTTTGAGTTGTGGGCTGAGTATCCAACAGTGTATTTGCAAGACAAGACCCCACGAGGCCAAATCAAAAACAAGAAGGGGGACTGAGGGTGTAGCTCAGTAGTAGAGCACCTGCCTTGGCATGTGCCAGCCCCTCGGTTTAATGCCCAGAACCACAAAAAGTCAGAATGATAAGAAAATGCAAAGCTCCAAAGTCCCAGAGCTCATGCAATTGGAAGTCTCCTCATTCAGAAAGCCAAGGCAGAGAGATTCTATGGACCACCTGGAGCACTAATGGAGACAGCAAAAAGGTCCCCTTTAGTCATAGGGCTAATCCAGTCCCAGGATAAAGGCTGCACTGTTCTGACCTAATATAGCATGAAAATGATCCTCCAAAACACCATACTGATCCACCACGGTGACTTGACTGTCAAACAAAACTCTCTAGACTCTTTAAAGGAACAACAGATTCCAGACACCCAATAAAACAGTGGTACCATGTTCAACAAAGAATCACAAAGTACTGGACAAACAATCAGGAAAACATGACCCATAAACTCAATCAGATAATATCAAATGATACAATTTATGTCTGGGTTTATGTCTGAGTGGATTGGTGGGGGCAGGAAAAATATTTGAGAAATCATGACCTCAAGTTTGCCCATTTTGTGACATACCCACAGATTTAGGAAAATTGTGAAATACCCACAGATTTAGGAAAATTGTGACATACCCACAGATTTAGGAAAATTAAGGGACTCCAGCAAGAGAAACATGTATGGCATGTATGACACATGTATGAAACATGTATGACATGTATGACATCCCAAGTCAGATCATGAACCCTATTCATGAAAAACAGAAATTTAAAAAAAATCTATAAGTAACTGATGAGAAAGGGAAGGGAAAGAGACTACATATTAGGAATGAAGATCTTAAAAATCACTGAGTTCACATCAAAAACAATGGAAGCTGAAAGCTAATGGATCAAAATCTTGGAAGTAGAGAAAGAAAAAACTATTCAACCAGAATTCTATACCCAAYAAAAATATCCTTCTGAATTCAAGGCCACATGTAGAAATTGCAACTGAGATACACTCCTCCTGGGAGAATAACATGGCGTAGACCTTTTGGGGCTCCTCCAACACGCATTTACACATCACCCATGATTCCTCTCCCAAAGGCCTGGAAACATGCACACCCAAAATCTTATATAGGATCCTTCACAGCCTCCCTCTTCACCACAACAATGATCCAAACGCAGCCACAYGATAAAAGGATAAAAAGTGGTATATCCACACAAGAGAATGTTATTTGGCAAGAAATGAAGTGTGGATACACGAGACAATATGGTTGAACTTTAAAAACACTATCTGTGGGGCTGGGGTTGTGGCTCAGCGGTAGAGTTCTTGCTTGGCAAACACGAGGTTCCTCCTCAGTTATTGAAACCTCCAGAGCACAGGGAATGAGCCTCCTACTACCCTGACCATCTGCTGACCATCACCCTGACCATCCTGCTGTGCGCTCCAGGTACCTGAGTGCTTGTCTGCTCCTTTGCCAATGGGGAATCACCTATCAGGTGGACATTTGGCTAAGGCTTGTGGTGGCAGATAAATGAGCAAGGGAAAGGAAAAGAAATAGAAGACATGATTCTATGACCCAGACAAAGAGTATTCCCAGTCTGTCTGAATCCTTCCCAAGTGGATACACTGTTTCCACACAAGGACACACAGTACCTCACTGCTAGGTCAGGTTGCACTTCTTTTGCTAGAACATCCCAACCCGCTTTTGGGATGAGGTAGGTTTGAGGACCTGGGTGTGATTTACAACCATATGGGGTTAAGTCCTATGAGCCCCCATGTCCTTTCTCCTGTCTTCCCATTCCACTCCTTACCTCCACTTCCCACAGGGCTTTTGAACTGGTGGCAGATGTGGCTGACTGCCGGCCTGTGGTCCTCAGGAAGACGTGCTGCTTCTTCCTGTGCTCATCACAGGTGAGAAACTTCTCTTGCTCAGCGTGGAACAGCCTCACCACATCACCCTAAAAGTCAACACAAGGAGGAATGAAAATCTGCATACTACAGGCCTTCACCCGCGTCAGTGTTCACAGCAGCACAAGCCACAGTTGCCAAGTGAAGGAACAGTCCAGAAGCCTGTCCACAGATGAATGGATCCAGAAAACGCGGCAGATTTACACAGTGGAGTTGGACTCAGCCAGGAGGAGGATGTAATCATGGCACTGGCTGGTGGAGGATGGCACTGGACAACACCATGGTCAGTGAAATAAGTCAGACTTAAAAATCAAGGGTTGGGTGTTTTCTCTCATGTGTGCAAGCTACAGTACAGTGAGGGAACAACTTGGGGGGAGGTTGGATATCGTAAAGATACAGGGAGGATATCAGTGGAGTAGGAGGAGAAGATCAGAGGAAGAGGGATGGGAAAGGCAGGAAATAAGGAACAAATCAATTCAGCTTTGTGGATTCCTATATGTAGCACAGTGAGTTCAATGCTTATGTACACCTMTACAGCCCCAATCGAAAACACACAGAGGAACAGGGGAAAGGAGACCTGCAAGGTCGAGGAAGGACCATAAGGGGACGGAGGTAAGGAGGGAAAGGGGGTGGCTACTGGAAACAGAAATGAAGTCCATGAAACTCCCTGCACGTGCTGCTTTGTCAAAATGAACCCGAATATTATGCATAACTATCATGCACTGAAAAGAGAAGAAAAAAGAATTAAGGAAAGATGGTTTAAAAAGAAAATGGCCTTGCTACCCCAAGAAAAACCAAGTATCAAAAAGCTGCCAAGCCCATAAAGCACCAAACTAACCCCCTTTTTCTTTCTTTTTTTCCTTTTCTTTTTTTTTTTTTAAGTAAGAACCTTTGGTTTCACTAAATCATGATCCTTGGGTACACTTTTGAAAATGTTCCTTGTGATGACTTGGGGAGCACACTCTGTAGTCGTTAATTTCATCTTGCCCAAAGAGAGGTCTGGTGCTTCTCCTGGGCTCAGGGAAAACTCACCCCCTTTAAAATGTCATCTTTGTTGTCACTCCATTTCATGAAAAGGACTATTTTCCAGCTTGTGTTGCAGTTGACGGAATTGACCTAGAAAACAGATTAGTTATCACACTCCTCACCACGATGTGTTACACAGCCCCAACATTCCAGAATCAAGGGTGTGCCTCAGCCCCAAACCCCTACAGACTTAACCATATCAAGAACCCAGCACCGGCAGAGTCAACTGGCCAGTGAGAAGTATTTCATCATAAACGGCTCATCTGCACCCAACCCCACGTATGCTCTCAATAAGACCAAAGGAACACCATGGTAAGTGAAATAAGCCAGACTTAAAAATCAAGGCTTGGATGTTTTCTCCCACATGTGCAAGGTACAGTAAAATGAGGGAAAAACYTCCCCCCACCCCTCCTGCAATGATCTTTTCCTTTTCTTCCAAGTCTCTCATTCTGTAGCCAAAAAAGTAAAGGCCAAACAAAAACAAAGACTGATCAAATAGAATGAGCCACAAAGCCAAGAAATGAATCCAGTGTATACAGATGAAAATGTTAATGACCATCATTATCAGAAGGGCCATTACTTGTGCACTCAGCTGCATACGAACACTATGTCATTTAACACTCAGCAATACCCTAAAGAGCAGGTACACCCATCACACCCATTTCAGAGACAGGGAAACCTTGAGTGGGGTAACTAATACACACTACCAGGGCCAGGGAATGACAGACTTGAGATTTGAATCCCTATCTGTCCCACCCCAGAGCCTGAGTTCTTATCCATTAAACAGATACTCATGTCACCAACTAGTTACTGTCCTGTGTCCTGTACCTGTCAATTTAGAGGCAAGACAGCCTTGCAGGGCCACTCATGTGTTATAATGGACCCTTCTTAGGAATTAGAAAAAGGCACCCTCTTCTTTAGAGAAGCAAATTAGAAAGAGATATCCTTTCTAATACTGGCAACAGAAGCCCTCTCAAGATGAACAGATGAGGAAATGGTACGTCCAAGGGGAAGGCTGGGCACTAGGGTGAACTACCCGCCCCACTCACTGCAGAGACATGCACACCTAGTGTGGCAGCTCTGACTTTGGACCTCAGGTTCTTCACCTGCAGGATGTCACAGAGCTTGAAGTCCCTTTCAGCATGCACAAGCTCTAGCCCCAGGAAGGCCTGCCGCTTCCCAAAAGCCGTGACTTGGTTTCCCTTACCTCATTGCAGCCAGGGTTGTCCACCAGCTGATGGCTGCTGGCATGCAGGGGCTGGCCAGCATTGACAGGGTTCAGAACAACCTTGTCACCTATGACCACCTGGAAAGGAAGGAGCAACAGGTTTTTACAGGATGGATCTGGACTATAGACTGAAAGCTGGTCTGGTCTGAGAGTGGCCAGACGGGCAGCTTTAAAACCTGGCTCTGGGCAGGGGGTGGGGTGGGGTCATGCCCAGAGGCTAAGGCTGAATTCTGGTACAGGACTGTCAATACTTATACAGTATTATAGTGCAAGTTGGTCCAGAGCCGCAAGAAAAATCTCCTATCTCCATTCCATTCAGTTAAGGTATGTATACAAAAATAAGTGCTTGACTAAATTTTAGGAAAAGTAGGCTACTAAGTCTTTTCCTTTGCAAACATCAAAACCATACTTACGTGTTTCTAAAGCAATGACCTTCATACTTTGGTGACTGCAATAGATTTCCTAGTATGACTCATTTACATATACAGCAACACACACTCTAGTGCGTGTATGTGTGTGTGAAGCAAAAGTTATTCCTAAAACAATATTTGCCTTCATGGGTATCACACTCTGGTATTTTCCATTGTATCCTACTTCCCAAAATTATTGTTACATGCCACTAAATTGATTCCGCAGCTTAGGAATAGGTTATGACCTGCCGTATGAGAAGGACTTTTCCAATAGTATAACTATTCGAGTCATCTTCTCAGCTAAGTCACAGCTAAATGGATTAAAGAATAGGAAAGCAAAGAACTGGATGAAAATGAAATTCAGAACAAGGCACATTTGTTTTTCATTGTAGGGGTGGAAGAAAAGGGAGTGGAGGAGATGATTTCCTTAGACTTAAACCCCATCTATTTTTGGTGCGATACTTTTGGGAATCATGCATTCCTAAATTTTCTCCAGAAGAATAAACAAATATTTAATAAAACCATCACTTGTGGTGAAGCCTAGATATTTTTTTTTTCTCCTATTCCCAGTCTGGGTTCAATATTCACTGTACACCAACGGTGAGGGAATGCTTTCCTCTATCTTATAACACACACACACACACACACACACAAACACACACACTCTTAAACTGCTTACAGCTTATAAACTGAAATGGCAGTATTAAAAAAAATGTTGAAACCTAGTTTTAGATTAAGGCTAGTTCAGTATTTTGAGAACACTTCATGCTGTTTAAGGCACAAATTTCTTTTTAGCAAAAATGCAACTATTTTAGAACCTTAACAAGGTCAAGAATACAGCTGATAGCTTTCAAACATATTCATTGTTAAGTGTGTGCCCACGTAATGGCTCACTAATTTAGCTAACAAATATTGGGACTATTCTAAGCAGCCCTGAAAAGAGGCTCCTGTGGCTTCCTATTCTGTAGAGACCTCAGGACTGGGGCCAGCTCAGGACCAACCATGTCGGCGGAACACCTGGCTGCTAATCCACACGGAAACTTCAAGTCCACTCTCCTTCCCCACTGCTGTCATTTCTTCTCCATGCTCCTTCCTTACTAGGTTTATTTCCAAAACAGACATTGCTATCCTGCTGATGGATCTGGAATGACAGGGATCCTCCCCAGGATGTTAACACGGGGTGGCTGTTTTCGTGGTAACATGAATGAGGTAATGGACTCTCCGTAGGAGTGTTTCAGAGGCCCAGGAGGAAAAACATAGCGACTGTATTTAGGTCACATTCTCCTCACATTTCCTTGTTTCCCAAACACTCGTTTCCATAGTGATTCCAACTTCTCTGGTTCCAACTTTAAAGTTCTCTGAGTTGAGTCCCGTACCCAGGGATGGCGAGAGGCCTGGTGTCCAGGCCTGGAGCGTGCGACACTTACGCTGTCTCCAATGGACCGCAGCTTGTAGAAGGGCTGAATGTAAAACCAGGACCCCTCGTTCCCAGCTTCGTCCAAGGTCACCCTCATGGCGTTCTTTTCCAGCAGAGCTGGAAGCCTCTTGTTCACAGTGAGGTATTTATTACTCTTCAAATGCAGGAGCTAAAAACCCAACAAGAGAAAACCAGGAGTGTCAGCCCACCTCTGAATTCCCTGACATTTCTTTCTCAGATGTATAAAATATGCATCAGATGTTCATTCAACCACTGAGTGGCTTGTGAAGCACAAGGCCCACAAAGTACCGGAGGCTGGGGATGATGCGAAAAGAAGGAATAGCAAAGGGAGCAGAGGGAAAAATAGAAGAAAAAATTTGTTTTCTTTCTCTGCACGGCCTTAGACAATATGGATTCTGCTCAGGTCAAAGGTACTGTCACCGGCCAGCTGTTGGAGGGGAGCAGCCTTACCCTGTGCAAAGGAGCTGACGAACTGCAGTCCGAGTATGCCCTGCCACCAACGTGGAGCTAATCAGGACAATTCTGAGCACAAGAAACAAGGTCCTTTAAAGGGTAACCCCATTAGGGGACTGTCACTTCACATGGAAGAACATGGTAACCATGGACTTCCACCTCGTAGTCTCCAACACTTGAGTCTTGGAGGATGGCGACGAGAAGGGATGGAAAGACTAGAGATGAAGTGGGAGACAGCTYGCCTACAAGCTGGTCTAGACCAGGAAGAGCTGACCATGGCTTCTCAAGTCATGAGTCCAGAGAAACAATGGAGGGGGACAAGGATTGCCCAGTTCCTAAACAAATGGCAGGACCCCCTGGAATTCCAATGCCAACTCCCATACCCCGTTCACCTGCTAACAGAAACCACTGCCAGGGCACTCCCAGGATGTCCCCAGATATTCTAACAGGGTCGTCAAGGGAGGGTGACAAGCTTGTCTGAGCCCCAGACAACCTCTGGCCAAGATAAACACAGGGAGACAATGTCCTTCCAAATCCTCACTGCTCAGGTGAGTGGCCTCTGATCCCCATGAAGAGGACAAACCAGTATCACCAAGAGGTGGATCCCCAGCTGCAGATTTGGGGGCAGTAATAAAAAGCATTAGTTGCTAAGTCTCAGGCTCACTCTCCGACAGGCTCCTCTCAAGTATCCAAGGAAGCGGATACCATTACCATTTCCATTTTGTTGGAGAGCAAGGTGAAATATAGCAAGATTTCTTGCCCAAAATCTCACAGATCTTTCACTGAGATGCATTTAGGAGATTAGGTGCTTGGTCCCTGTATGCCTCTTTCATTCTCAGTTCAAGCCATGATCTCCAGTCTAAACAAACCAGGGACCCTGAGCCGTGAGTCTCAGGACACTGGCTTTGCTCAGCAAGAGAGCTCATGTTGAATTCCAGGGCCAAGTGACCCCTGTGGCCATTCTCAATCAGATGGAACTTAAAGAGGAGTGGGACCAACAGGACTTAACCTCCAAACAGATTTTGGGAGCTACTTTCACTATTCCAGAAAGCCTCATCTAAATAACCCATTTAACTATGACAAGTTCCTTTTAAGTCTGGGGTTTTCTTTTTAACTACTTTTCCCACTCTCCTGAGTAGCACTATTAGCAATAAGAATGGGAAGGAATTCCTTTGTAACAAGTAAGGTTCAGGGTAAGCAAAAATCTTTCAAAAAGGGAAATAATGAAGGAAACCTAAGGGGCCAAGTATTCCAAAGTTGGTAATCACTATTCTTTGTGCCTGGGTCAAAATGATGTGCTAAATGGATAAAGGGAGAAGGTCCCCAGGCATTGGGATTCCTCACATTCTCTTCTGCAAGACTAGGATCCACTCAGATGGATTTTCTGAGCCAGACCTGCAAAAGCTGTTTCCTGGCTTATGTTTTATCCTGGTGACGAATTGAAGAGCAGAGATAAGTCAAGTAAAGCTTCCAACCTGTAMGATTTAGGAATGATCTAATATTTTTCATTAATATAAAATGCATCAAAATGATAAATGCTTCAGACTTTAAAAATTTGGAAGGCTCAGAATTGGTCATATTATCATCTCTGGGCAAACAACTCTTGAACAAAAGATAGAAGTTACAGGGAAACCAAAGAGAAAGAACTTCCAAGCTCCTGAAAGTTCAGCAAAACTGTGACAGGCTCCTTTTCAGGTAGGAAGGTTCCCACTTGAACTATCTGGACCGATCTTAAATTATCAGGTGGAGGTAGCCAAAGCAGATGGAGAGATGGCCAGCTACAAAGCCCAAGAGTGCATCACTGGTAACCAACACTAGGCTTTTGCAACAAACTGCCTGACTCCATCCGTGGAGTCCTTCTGCACAGGCAGAGTGTCCAAATTCTATTCTGTGTGTTTACTTTCTCAGTGTCATTCTTTGTCATGCATCACCTCCAGAAGAGAAGATCACACTTGACCTACCTGGATCACGTTGCCATACTGGATCACGGTCCCCAGCAACTTCCTGTTTTCTGTCTCGTTCTGTTTCTTTTCCAAGTCCGCGGCATGCTGTGCGGGGCAGGGGGAGAAAGATGGTCACAAAGAGGCATCTGTGGGTTCTGCTCCTCTGCAACACTGAACCCATGCCCGCAACACAAGAACCACACAGGCAAACCCCTCAGTGCGCCCCAGGCTGTGGCAAAGGAGCCTCCACCACGCCTCGGCCCTGTTGGTCTCTCTGACTTCTTTAAAATGAGCTTTTTCTTGAYGGAATGCATGGACATTTGCTTAGGGAAAGACTTCTTCAAAGTTTGTGTTTTTTAAAGAAAAGAGTGAGGGTAACAGCACTGGAGCACCCTTTTGTGATTGGCAAAAGTCCTCTTTAAAAGTTCTAGAGTAAAATAAAACTGGATTTGAATGCTGGGTTTGGGGGTAGTTTGTGGTTTTGTGACCTTGAATTAGTTATTTAACATCTGTGAGCCTGCTTCCTTCTTTTGTAACATGATAATAAAAATGATACCTACACCTCACATTGCACGTGGACTGCTGGCTAGTCTTGTCGGACATTAATTATAATCTAGGCAACTTATGTAGTAGTTTTTTGAGGGGAGATCATTACCACAATTTACAAAAAAAAAATGATAATAATAAGTCACCAGGGTTGTTTAAGTAGAATGTGGACTTGGTAGATACAAGTTTCAGAATTTGAGCCTTATAGCACAAAAAGAGAGAGAGAGAGAGACAAAAGAGAGAAAAAGCAAAGAGAGACAGAAGGGCTGGGTTGTGACTCAGGGGTAGAGCACTTGCCTAGCAAATGTGAGGCCCTGGGTTTGATTCTCAGCACCACATAAAATAAAAATAAAGTCCTATCAACAACTTAAAAAAAGAAACGAGACACAGAGAGTATAAGCAGTGTGGTCCACGTTCCACAGCCAGCGTTCGGTTTGTTAAACCGTTTTCTCTACTGAGGACAATAGAAATTTTGCTGAAATATTTTTAGAATCACCCATTTATGAAGTGGCTGAGAGAATTCTCAAATTCACAACTGGGTTCATTCCAAATCTGTGCTGTTACAGTGAGGCTGGGAGACAGGACCAGTCCAACACTGGCACGCAAGGAAATGTGCTCAGGCTGAATAGAGTGTTCTAGAACACTGCCAGGGCCTGCATCCTGAACAGTTGTCTCTTGTGCATTTTCCTGGGCCACTCTGAGGGCACTGCTGTCATTTTACAGTGATGCTGAARGAGGAATAGTTAGGCCCAGGCAGTTAGCATACTGCTGTCCCCATCCCCAACTCTCAACCCTGAACTGAATGTCAGAGAAGTCAAATAATGGGGTGGGGTCAGGATGGATCTGTATGGAAGGAAACCCTGATGACCACAGTGTGCTTCAGGAACCTTCCAAATACTCTCCCCTTCCCTGGGGGCTGTGGAGGTCAGTGGGTCCCTCTCCCAGGAAACCTGTCTTCATTTTGCCCTTCTGGACTTCGTCATGGGTTCCTCTGTGCCACCTGTGTCCTTCTGCCCTGGTCACTTAATCTCACTCGGTGTAGTCATCAGAAAATGGGAATCCACACTAGGCTTTGAGACAGTGCCTGCCAGGGACATCATAGGCATTTGTAATATTTTATTCATTAAATAAATGGGGCCATGCTGGAGACAGAACCCAGACCTCACATGAACTGGGCAAAGAAACCGTCTACACTGGGCCCTCCTTCTATCCCCTTCAATGACTTTGCACTATTATCATGATGTACAAAGTTCTAAAACTAAGAATGTTCTGATGATCAAAATTTCAAGTCAGCTGGGTCAGGGATCTTCCCGTTCCCTTCAATTTCAGCATCTGCTCTAGCTCCACCTGAGGGGTACGTGTTTTTAGAAAGGCACATCTTTTGAGAAAAGTGGTAGGTCAGGAGGCAATCCAGACCCCCTACAGAACCTTACCCCAGGAAGGAAATGATCTGCCCATGTGTGTGGGGGTCACCCCAACTCAACGGAGCCACTGGGTTCAAGACAGGTCCAGAAACAATACCAGGGCAGACCCACGTGGCATTGCCCGGGGCCACAGTTCTGCCCTCTCTCCTTCCCCTTCATAAACTCTCTCTCCTCCCTATTTTCCTGCCTGGGCTTCATTCCTTCCAGAGAGCTTCACAATACCCACAGATTCTGAGGCCGTTTTCCAAACAAAACACTGGAGTGGATCCATTTGGAATGGGAGTTTGTACTGTACACAGAGTAATTTGTACTTTCTGCCGAGTGGTTCTCAGCAAGCACTGACTGGAAACTCAAGAGGGGGAAAAAAAGTCAAAGGAAGAAAAATAAAATCAATGGATTCTGTGTAACTAAACCTAACATTTTTCAAGAAGCAAATAAGGATCTTCCTCTGTTCCAAACATCACCCTGGAAGGGCTCTTAACCACTGGGCCACATCCCCAGCCCTTTTTATGTTTTATTTCAAGACAGGGTCTCCCTAAGTTGCTTAGAGTCTCACTAAATTGCTGAGGCTGGCCTTGAACTTTCAATCCTCCTGCCTCAGCCTCCTAAATCGCTGGGATTACAGGTGCGTATCAACCATTGCATCAGCTAGAGAATTCATAAGTAGCATTTCTTGGACTCAAATTATTTAAGGGAAAAAAATTCTTGTGGACATTCCCCTTACTCTTAAGAAATTTCCAAAGATCTCAATTTAAGACAGTTTAATATACAATAAGTTCCTACCTATTAGACTAGATGTAAAAGTTCCTACCTATTAGACTAGATGTAAAAGTAGCAACTCATTGAACACTACTATAACTTAAAAATGTCAAATAAGCATTAGAAAGGTGCCTGTGTAATATTAAAGACAGCAGCTTTATGGAGCAAGTGCAGTTGTCTAAAAACACATAGAAAATAAACAGAAAAATCAAACAAAATTGGAGAAGGACTTCTCTTCAACAGAGATATTCTCAAATGTGGCATCTAAAATTCAGTTAAGGCTCTCTGTTACAATAAAAATTACGACTCTCTTCATCTCTATGAACAACTTTAGTGGCAACCAGGTCTACATGTCACTACTGAAGAAACGCTAAAGGCATTCAACTTTTGGACCATTCTAAGAATTCACTTTTCCTAGCCCTTTGTTTAGGGAGAAAAATCTGTAATTCTCCTTTTGCTAAATACATAAACATCAAATGCATTCACCGGTGAAGGCTGGTTCTTTGGAAGGAACACATGCTGTGTTATACCGCATAAACGTATTCCACATGCTGACCCACACTGCCAAAGACTGACACTACCCTTCTAAAGGGGAGTCCAGCAATACTGACCAATGYGACCCTTCAGTGGGTCTAATTTTGACCTACCAATTCTACTTCTAGGAGTTTCTCCTGCTTACATAACCTGGCATGTGCACATTTTTTTTTCCCCAAAGTGGCAAAAATTGTCAGGATCCTGAATGTCACTTCCTACCCTGTCACAAGGACTAGTTATTCAAAACTATAATCATGCCACACAATGGAATAATCATGTAGCTATTAAAAATAAGGATATAACCAGGTTTGGTAGTGTACACCTGCAATCCCAGCTAGTGGGGTAGGAAGATCTCACATTCAAGGCCAGCTTGGGCGACTTAGGAAGACCCTGCCTCAAAACTGAATTAAATTAATAAATAGATGGATAGCTGACAATGTAGTCCAGTAAGCACTTGCCTGGATATGTGAGACCCTGGATTCCATCCCCAGTACTGGGGTGGGAGGGTAGATACAGATTCCTGTTTATCCATGTCAGAGTGAAAGAAACGAGTTAAAGCAAAGTTAAAAAATATGTTTCTATTAACTATATAAAAATCTCCCTGTGGGCAAGCAGGGCACATACCAAAATAAAAATCAAGGTTATCACTAAGGAGTTTTGTCTTTTTTAGGGGCAGGGGGCATGCTGGGGATTGAACCGAGGGGGCACTTAATCACTGAGCCACATCCCTAACCCTTTTTAATTTTTTTTWAATTTTGAGGCAGATTCTCACTAAGTTGCTTAGGACCTCACTAAGTAGCTGAAGCTGGCTTTGAACTTGTAATCCTCCTGCCTCAGCCTCTTGAGCTGCTGGGATTACAGGTGTGCACCATAGCACCTGACCAAGGAATGAGATTTATAGATCCTATCAATTAAGTTTCTTTCCTTCTACTCATACCTACTTTGCAATTCTTCTCCTGCAGTACTCATGTGTTTAAATTCTAAAAACATCTTGGTTGTGTGTCTGTGGTGAATAACCTGGATTATTATTATTTTTTTTTTTTTACCTTTTCAGTCTTTAAAAAATCCTGACAACAGGAATCCCCGGGACTCCCTTCCTTTCACACAGGTGGGGGGAGGGGGGCTCTTTTTTCATGGGGAAGGAAGAGAACAGTCCATGCTAGGGTTTCTGCCACACTATCCACCACCTGTGTTCCCTGAACATCATCAAGGTCAACCCCATCATAGTCACCTGCTAGTTTATTTTAGAAACACAGAAACCATTACTGAATCACCATAGAAAGGTCACTGGAACACTGAGGAAAGGTTAGTTAAGGTCATCGAGCTCTGATCACGTCATGTGATAATGAATCCAGGCTCCTGAAAATAATAAACAACCAAGCTTTAAAAGACAGTGAAGATCTGTCAGTCCTCTGATTCTCCTTAACAAAGGTACGGCTTAATCTAAGTGATCATTTGTCCTAATCCAAATAACGTAGGTGCCTGTTTCTTGGGGACAGGTGGACGGCTTTAGGGAGCTCCTGCTTCAGGAGGAATTCGGTGATGCAAGGGCCTGGGAAGCTCATTTTCCCAAGAGTCTTCCGGGAAATCATGACCCAAAGACTCAACATCCAGTTCTTTCTGCAGAGGGAGCAAATGCTGGGACCAGCCACTAGATGTCATTCTCCTTCAAAGGGCTGTTGGTGCTGCTTTTCCTGGTCAAAAGGAAGTCAAGTGGTCTAGACAACCAATTCCTTAAATGGCATTAATTTAAAATAATCTGACCTCTGACTGGGATACTGCACAGCARTGGACAGAAATAAAAATGAAGGCCGAAGGCAAGTGGCTGCCCCCAAACACAGCCCTTTTAATGACTGTACCAAAACATAATGACTTTCAGACAACAGGAGGGCAGTTCCAGGGACCTACACAAAGTCCAGCACAGACCAACACGCAGGGCCTGGAAAAGTCACACGGGTAACCCTCAGTCGGGGGAAGACGTGGTCTTCTTTGACTTCAAGATACAAACAGCCTGGAAGATCCTCAACACTCTCTCAAAGTTCCTGATCACCTGAAGGACCAGATGGGTTTTGTTCCCTACCTTTACTACTTATTTCACGATCCACTGGCAGAAAAGGAACATCAAAAGGAATTACTGATAAAACACAGCCTGAAGATGACAGGCTGGGGCTCAGTGGTAGAGCATTTGCCTAGCATTATGTGAAGCACTGGGTTCAATCCTCAGCACCCCATAAAAATAAATAAATAAAATAAAGGTATTGTGTCCACCTACAACTAAAGTATATTAAAAAAAAAGATCACCGGTGGCAAATGAGACTCCACCATCCCATTCGGCCTGAGCCATTTTGGGATTGGTGTTGAGTGCACATTTTCAGCTTTAATTGAATCAGCTGCCAACATGTTTTCTAAATGGAGGTCTTACACGTAAAAGCATGGATTCTTATCTTCTCTTGAAAAAGCAGAAGACAGTGTGTGGCTCTCTCCTGGTTCCCACACAGTCACCGCAGGGAGAGAGAACTGCCCCCTCTAGACCCGCACACAGGCTCCCTCCGTGGGCAACACTGCCATCCAACCCCCTTTCTCCCCGCTGGTCTCCTGMTTGGCCAAAAGGGACACGAATCTGCACCCCCTGCTGAAAAAGTGTAGGAGAGAAAGAGTCAGAGGTACACGAAGGAGACCTCGTGGAACAGAACGATCTTTAGAGAAGCAAACGCTCAAGACATGCAGACCTTCTACAGAGACACCCCCCACACCCAACAGCTCTCTCCTAAGTGACATGCAAGGACCCTTCCCTACCCACATTCCCAGCATAGACTTCAGGGGGATTCTGCACGGGGACAAGGACTCCAAGAGGAGAAGGATGCTACTCCTACAACAGAAGCCAGGCACGCTGCCCGCCATCAGAGGCCAGCCGAGGCTCAGATCTATCCAAGGAATTGCCACTCATGCCGTTTAAGTGCAGAGCTGGCTGGACATTCACTTAAGTTAAAAGGTGTCTGTGACCGTCTTAATCTAGCACCTCACTCCACTTTACACAAAGATAAAATCTTGTGTGGTTTGATTAACACTGTTAATAGATTTTACAAAAGGGCAAGTACTATTGGACAAAGGAAAATGTCACTTTGCATTCTTTGTAGTGCTTCTGAGAGCTGCTGGCCCTTTTGGAAMAATCACAACACAGGTAACATGCTTTCTGCATAACTAGGACTGGGTACTTGCAGYGTGCAGAAATAGACGCAGGGCCAGATTCCCTCATGTCTTCTAGAATCGTTGTCCTGAGCATTAGGTATCCAAATTTTTATGCAATTTATTCTTTTCCTTTTATTTGTCCTCTATAACTGACTTTTTAAAGTTTAGCATTATGAACTGTATCACAGATTCAGAAAGTTATCTATTTGCTGTGAATAGGGAGCAATGGGCGTGTGGAAATTAAGTCCAGGAAATACCATCACTGCTATAAGGATGATGCTGTTCTTGAAGCGTTCAGAGCAGTGTCCAGTCTCCTGGGTCTCACCCCCTGTGTCGTCTTCTCCCCTCTCACTCCCACAGTCATCTCAAGCTCAGGTTCACGAGTCCCTTCCCTGTCCCCCTAGGAAGCCCTCCCTGACCACTGAACTGCACCTCCTCATCCAGCAAAGCCAGACTGTGGTATCCTTTCTGTGTGCTTTCCCTCCCTCGGGTGGTCTGCCCTGCAGAATGGCCTCTGTCACACTGTCATTACCTGATTTCCCCACTTTGGGGCTGGGGCCCGGGGTCTGGTGCCTCCTCGGCTGGTGCTGTACCACAGAGCTACACCCRCAGCACACCCCTTGACCCCTTCTTCTCTAAGGAGCTCCCAGAGGGCTGAGACTGTCACTATTCTGTCACCAGCACCCAGCACAGTGCTCACCCACTCAACAACTGTTTCCAAAGCTCTGACTACGAGCCAGGCACTGTCCTATCAAGTCACAAACAGGGAAGTGACCGTGCACAAGACAGACAATGCCCCCGACCTTGTAGAGCTGCTGTTCTAATGAGTGACCGATAATTAAAAAATGACTAAATATAACTACAGCCTATGATCAGCRCTGGGGATGGTATAAACAGTGAGGAAAACAGGCAGGACAGATCTTAGACTGGCGGGGGTGGCTTGCCAAGATGAGAGGCACAGTGAGTCAGGAACGATGCAAGGTCCCTGCTCAAGAGAAGCCAGGAGACGATTTCTCCCAACAGGACACACTGTGGGTGCAAAGGTCAAGAGACTGGTATAATCCTGGGGTGTTCAAAGAAAGAAAAAAAAAATGAACTAAATCTCATCTGTCAGCAACTCAATAAGGCCCTAAGCAACTTAGCAAGGCTGTGTCTCAAAACTTAAAAAAGTAAAAGGGCCTGGGGATGGGGCTCAGTGGTTCAGCATCCCTGGGTTCAAATCAATCAAGTCTGGCTGGAAGGCAGTTCAGAAGCTTTGGAGGGTCAAGCAGGGTCTGGGCATGTGGTCTTGCAAATCACAAGAAGTGTGCACTTATTTTTGGTGCAACGCATGTCCTCAGGCAGGGGCTTCAGCTTACTGAGCCTAGGAACCTGGGCTCTCACCCCTCCTGTATGACCGCCTCGTGAGACAGCAGGTGCTGAATGAAGAGGACAAACCTCCACCCARCCCCTACCTTAGTGAACGCCGCTGGCTAGGCCACTGTCCTATCAAGTCACAAACAGGGCAGGCGGACCTGGGGGACCTGGCAAGGTCCTTGGTGCTCACGGCTACTCTAGTGAAGCCCATCACCTCTATTCACTCACCTATTTGAAGGCCTACTATGCGTTACTATGCTGTAGGCACAAGGGACATACAGCAACAAGCAAAATGCCGCATGCTGGTTACTTCCTTGGCAGGGATGGACAACCAGGGAATGAAGCACATTAGGAAGACCACAGGGACGTGGAGAAGAACATGATGACAGATGACAAGCAGGAGCTGGGTGGCAATTTCAACACCACAATAATGGATGTCCATCCGACCCGCCTTCTAAACATCTAGAACTTCCACACAGATTACCTTCTGAGCGCCGGGTACTAAAGAAATCATGTCAAGAGAAACAGGCTCAGAGAGGTACAGAAACTTGCTGTAGTCACACAGCCCATCAGCAGTGGCATAGCACATTGCTTAGGTGACAAATTGGATAAATATAATGATAAAAGTCAAAGTTTAGTAAGCATCATTCATGTGCCTTTTATGTCACTTTTCCTATAATCCTCAGGTCATCCTCCTGAGGCATATATTACCATCATCCCCAGTTTACAGGTAAGGAACAGAGTTGGAAAATAGCTGTGAGACTTGCTTAAGATCGCATTCATGATCTTGTGCTGGTAGCCATTCTAGTGCCCAAAGCTGCCCGTGAAAGGGGATGGCTGGGGCCAGAGTGGCTCCCAGACATCTCAAGAGGGCTACAATGAGCCTCTCCTCGGGGTCCTCTCCCTCGTACCCCTTTAACAAAGGAACATAAGAAAGCCAGCAGCTGGAGAGGAAGGTTGAGCCAGGTGCCAGCCCTTGTACTCGGGCACCACCCAGGGACCAGTCAAGGTCACCATCGACCATAGTCCACAGTGGCCCGCGGCCATCCCGATACCTACGTGCAGTTTGTTCAGCAGCACTGCGTCGGTTGTGCTGTTGGCCCCTGGCTTGGCGGCTTTCCAGAACTGCTTCTGGGCCGAGTAGCGATTCATAGGACACAGCTTGAAGAGGCAGTCTAGGAGCAAAGTGACAAAGGGCAATGGTTACCATGGAGGCCCAGAGGCGACCCAAGGACCCAGGCTTCCCACCTGCACTGACGTAGGGTATCATCACCTATGCTGCTCTTCAGGAATGCTGAAAAACCCCTCCACATAGCTCTCTTTTAAATTCTCACCACCACAGTGTGAGGTCACAGATTAGGAAACTGAGGTTCACAGAGAGGAAGTCAATCATCCCTTGTCACAGAGCCACTGGCACAGCTGGGCTCCATGTCCAAATCCAGTGTTCTTAATAACCGCCCCCCCCATCTGCTTCACTTCTTAGTGGAAAAACAGAAGGACAGCCAATTCTCACTGCACAAACCAGTCTCTTTGGTGCCCCTAGAGTTTAAAGGATGCAACAGTAACAGCTTCACTTGGCCTAGGCCTCCTGGGGCAGAGTGTCAGGTTAAGAGGACCCCTGGGGTGCAGAGCGAAAACACCTCCCTCCCTTGAGACAGAGTGTGCCCTTGCTGACCCTCATTATCAATATCCTTTTGTGCTTCTGCTCAGGGTGCCTGGGCTCATGTGACTTTGTACAGTGTCTTAGGTAGCACAGCCAACACGGACCAGTGGCTTCCAAAGATTTATGTGAAGAAAGCGAAACATCAGGGCTGGGGTGGTGGCTCAGTGGTAAAGTGCTTGCCTAGCATGCGTGAGACCCTGGGTTCCATCCTCAGCAATGCATACAAATTGATAAAATAAAGGTCCATTGACAACTAAAAAATATATTTTTTTAAAACAGTAAAACATCAAAGATAGGAGGGGTACAAGCCCAAGAAATAAGAAAAAGCAGAACTGAGCCCAGTTTTCTGCAGCCACTCAAAAGGTAAAAATAATGATGATCTAATCAGATCTGAATAGAAGTCATCCAGAAATTAAAAATCACCATTTAAGACCCTGTCTTTAATGACGAACTCTATCCTTCCTATAGCATGTGTGTGAAGTATCAATAGGCATGCGGTCTTGCAAATCACCATGGTGAACCCCACTCTGCCTCACTAGTTTTATAATGTGTACAATATACTAGTGCAATAATATGGATATGTAGCTTTAAAAGTACATACACACACTCACACACACATACACAGAGTTGAGGACTATGTTCACCCAAATCTGGGATGGAGATTTTAAAAAAACAAAAAAAAAAAAACAGTGGGTTGGGGGTTTAGCCCAGTGGTCCAGCAATGCTCAGCACACATGAGGCTCTGGCTCAATCCCAGCACAGAATAAAACAAAGCACAACGAAAATACGTCCAGAAATAATTTCCCGAGAAAATTAATATCCAAAATTGACACTTGCCTCCTGAAGAGCTTACATTTTGACATCCTGGGTTTTTGAATGGTTAAGTATTTGTAGAGTAAAATTAATAAATTTCAAGCAAATACTCAGATTTGGAAAAACTGCACCTTGAAAACAGGTCAGAACTACCCACAGGACTTCTCTGCTCATTATGAAAGATTGCCCTTGAGGACCTTTCACAGGTTAATACCTAGCTATTGTTCCAGCCAAGTAAATATCTCAGAATTAGAGAAATTCATTTGCTGTCAAGTTCGTCAACACTAAGACTTTCCTTCTACTCCAGATGGCTCCTCCTTCCAGTCATGATCAATGAACTGTTAACCACGTGCTCCAGGACCAAATTCTCAATAGTATTCAGGAAAACAGTGAAACAGCACCTAACTGTAGCAGCAAAAGGTACTTCCTCTATGGCTATTATCTCCTTCATCAACTCAGGATCTCCACCTAGTCAGGGCAGTCATAAAATATAGGAAAGCTGATATTCATCTTTATCAGAAATCTGATCCATCTACTCCAAGTAATTTTCAATGCATATGAAAGATACTGGCTAGTTCTTGGGAAAACAAAGGATATGGCAGAAAAAAAAAACAGTTTAAAAGACGGGCTGCTCCCTCCGTCTCTTCTGAAAACCACAGGTCATGGTCATTTAATGTCTCAGTGGCAACTTGACTACAGAGATTTTTCTACCAACCCGATGAGAATGAACGTCCAGAATAACCACAAACCATGAGACCACTGGCCAGAATGCCCCATCTCTGACACAGGGCCCAGGGTGTCATCTGGACTGGACCGGGATAACTTCTTTAATAACTAGATGTCTTTGTTTAAAAGATGTCGCCAGCCCTGTCATTTGACATATAGCTTACCTTGTGGACCAAATGGAGCTAACGATGTCAATCTTCATCAATAGTAAGAAATGGAGAATACAATGACCTATTTTTCCCCTTCTAACCTATTCTCAGACTGATAGCTAACTGCTCTGCATTCCAACAAGGAAAAAAAATCGACTTAAGTGGATTTGGGGAACAGGCAGGCTAGATCTACAAGGGTGAGGGGAACATGGTCCGGGAAGCACTACTTTCCAACTGTGCACGTCACTCCCAAGCTGGGCCCCTTGCTTAACAACGGGTGACAATACAAGTGCAGAACTTCAGGTAACTCCTCGATCCCTTAAGGTGAGCGAGTAGATTGAAAGCACCGTCAATCCAAACAAAGCCTCGCTATAGCTTCAGAACCAACTATTTTCCTTGAACAGAACAGAGACCTGCATTGGCTAAAGTGTATTTACAACCAACTGTCTATGTAAATATAAGAGATGCTAACATACTAGTAACAGAACCAAATTAGCCTTGCTGATTTTGCCCTGTCTTCCTGGTTGCTTAGCAACAGATTCAAAGTGAAAATTAAATTAAGCAATTCAAATGTAATGTTAAAGTAACCTTCCGAAATTCTGCAATTCAGCGGCTCCATGTTGCCCTTTGCTATTTGGATGGTACAACGGGGCAAAATTAAAAGTTTGGCTGGGTCCTAATAGTGCACTAGATATAGAAATGCACAAATAGAGGAAATCCAGAAGTCTACATATAATATCTTTGTGGAAGAAGGTGAACGCGTACATGTATGTGTGCAAGTGTGCACACTGTGGTTTGGTCTCATCCCAAAAAAATGCCACAAAGGAAATCTTATGTGACAGGTGTTATTTTTGGGCCTTTGAGGAATAAACTAAACTTAGCTTTCAAGAAACTACTTTGGAATGTTCTGAAGCTTTAGCGTATGCCGCATTCAGTGAGCAGATAGAATTCAGCTGAATAGAGGGGCCACAGGCAATCTGCCATGGTGAAAGTTGCATTCTAGAACTCTCCTAGCTGCCGAGAAAGGAGTTAACTATCAAATAGGGACTGGTGTGTACAGTGAGTAGCAGATGAGAGCAAGAGGAGCCACAGTGTGCCTCGAGCCCCCTGGGGTGGAACAGAAGGAGGCAAGGTCACAGAATGTGAGCAGCCCTTGAGAAGCGTCCAGGTCTGAATCTCTCAGAGAATGAAGGCTGCCCAGGGTGAACCCTGCATCTCCACGCCATCCTCTCTATCTCTACTACTCTGCACTCCTGAGCCCAGGTTCCTGGGGCCAGGGTCTCAGGGGTTAGGCAGACAGCAGGAACCCAACCAAGGTGCTGAACTCGTGATCCCTGGGGCCCCTGAAGCAATGGCAGACAGGTCCTCTGGAGCCAGTTCTGGCTCTCAGCTTCCAGGATTCTCTTCACAGATTTGGTTTCTGATTATCAAAATGCCTCGTGTGTGCAAGCTCAGTCCTGGATGCTCAAGGTAGAACACTGAACCCATCGCACAAACTTCTTAACACAATCCTAGTGACACACATGCGAGTCCAATAGACGAGCTGAATTGGGGCAGGTTCAAAGTTCTGCAGAAGCAAGAACCATCTCTGGACACAGTATGCCTGGGGTGGAGGCAGCCTGCAGCAGGGGTACTAGGGGAGGCATCTGAGACTGAATGCAGAGCTGAAGGATGGCAAGGAGGAGTCCGCCTGGAGGAAAACCTGGGGGCAAAGCCTTCCAGGTAGAGAGAACAGCAAATGCAAAGGCCCTGGGCTGGGCAGAAAAAAAACCTGACAGCGGCAAAAGAATAGAAAATTGGGGCTGGAGGATAACGAGGGAAAGCTGTGGCTGCAGAAGCAGATGGATAAAGCCTCACGCAGGGTGCACAGGCCTGGGAAGCCATCTGAGTCATTCAAAGCAGAGGGACGCCACTCAAGGATCCTAAGCAAAGGACGGACTTGCTCTGGCTCATGTTTCCAAGGGAGCTTTCTCATCGCTGACGGCGCCCAGCAAGAAAGGGAAGGCTGGRGAGGAGCAGGGCTGGGGGAGAGCGACAGAAGCCAATCATTTCATTTTGGCTCTGCTCAGTTGGCGCTGCTCATGAAACATTCATGCTGACTGAGGACCAGGCCAACCATCCAGAGACAGGCCGAAAACACAGAACAGCCGGGTATGAAAAGGTGCCAGGGGGCCAGGCACAGTTGTGCACACCCGTGATCCCAGCGACTCGGGAGGCTGAGGCAGGGGGATCGCAAGTTCAAAGCCAGCCTCAGCAATTAGCAAGGCTCTATCTCAAAATATAAAATAAAAAGGACGGAGGGTTTGGCTCAGCAGTTAAGGACCCTTGGTACTCCCCAGTTAAGTACTCTGGGTACTCTCCGCCCCCAAAAAGATCAGGAGGCTGAGGCAGGAGGATCACAAGTTTGAGAGTAGAAATTAAAGAAAAATACAAGAAAATTTCCTGGAACCAGAGGAGATGACCCTCCTAGGTAGGRAAAAACAAAACAAAACAAAAACCCCACTAACTCCCCAGAACTGAATGAAGTTAATTCTCCACTTGGAATTCTGAGATGTGTTCAACGAGTGACCTCGTGTGGGAGAAGAATCAAGTCGAGTCTGCAGTCAGGAAGCAGCTAAAGGCCACCCTCCACCAAACATAGAGAAGACATTTCTTCAGTCCTTTGGTCATCAAAGAAGTGGCCCTGGCCTATTCCTGCTCTGCGGCAGAGACAGGAGGCTAAATTCTGGTCACCAATGTCACAATTGAGGGAAGTCCTACAATGATGCTGGGCAGGGCCTCTCGATGCCACAACCTGGAGCACAGGTAGAAAAGTCTTCAGGGA